TGCGGCTGCAATAAACATTGGGTGTTAAGGCCACGCTTCTTCAACAGGCATTTACATCACTCAATTGACATGTACCGGTACAGCCCTTTTGTGAATCCATTGCCCGATGAGGGCCTCCCCGCTCCGTGTGGGTCGTGGGAGTAATTTCACTATTCCCTGTACTGCACGTTAGGTAGTGCAGGTTAGTGGTGGGAAACATTCACGGCAGTGATCTCGAAAGGAAAATGCAACAATGGAATTTGCTGCGCCGCCCTCTGCTGCCCAACACGTAGGCTCACAGTCGGTTAAAAGCAGACTCGGAGGGAATAATTTACAAGGCACGCATGTTGTAGTTCTTTCGCACCGTACGTAGCCAACGCTGCTCATCAGAGGTGCGGAGGAAGGATAACAAACTAAACACAATAGGAAATTCTAGCGAAATTCGTTTTAAATCTAGATTTCAAAGTGCAAAGCTGCAGTGGCTTCCTAATATAGGACGAGAGCATTCCAGAGGGTTGCAGAAGTACATGATGCAGTGACCGTCTTTGTTCAATAGTTATCCAAAAACAATGATGATGATAATAATTTACACTTACAAATTACGTTTCACCCAGAGGTCGCAAGGCGCTGCAGAGAGCGAAAAGAACGTAAGCAAATAACGCACGCAATTCTAAAGCACACAAGGCTCATGATTTAACCACATATACAAATACTCCCGCCCCCACACTCCCAAAACACCTAACTAAAATTAATCAGGTGAAAAGGCCTTTAAGAAAAATACGTCTTCAGGCGTGCTGAGCAGATCGAATATTTGATGGCCGTGAATGCCACAGCTTTGGGGCAACACGGGAAAAGGCCCCCGGGTCACCCATTGAAGGAAGGCGTGACCTCGGCACACACAATAGCCCACACTCAGACAATCGAAGACATACGGGTGGAGGTCACGGATGCAAATGTAAAATCACTGTAATAACCGGAGTACCTGTACCTGCATTAACAGTTTAGTTTCTGTCCTCTCTCTTAATAATCATCATCAGCCATCGTTGGTCCATTGCTGAAGGCTTGCCCACCATCCGGCAGGCTTCTGTGACTTCACAATTCTTCTCACACCTGCACACATTGACGGACTGGGACAAAAACAATCGGGCCAGGCATTTGTAAACACACCGGCCTCATTGGGCCATTTGGATCTGCAGAATATGGGATTTAATGCCAACTGAGAGTGTAAATAAGTAACTGAGCGTACAAATTAGGAAGTAATGAAAATATTTCATTAATAACAAAAAACATACTTTTTTTTCCTCTGATCACATTTGCAATGTCCCCATACAGACAGACCCATCGGCCCTCTGAATGAACCAGCCCACCACTCATTTGCCCGGACTGCTGCCCGATGGCTAGTCCGGGCCTGCCTGCACATGAGCAAATCTCATAGCTCCATCTCTGCGGTGAATGTTTCTCCCATGTCGTGTTCCCTCCTTCAGCTGCCACTCCATTACAACGGGCCAACATTCTGTCCTGCCCATAACCCACTTACGTTTCTCAAGACTTCACAAATATCTGTGTTTGTTTTCTGATCAACGTGTACCTCTCTGTGTGTAAATTGCCAAGATGCAACTCTCCGTGATTATTTGTTTATAAACATCCTTTATCTACGTTGCAGATCCCTCGAAAACAATGAAACCCTATCCATTAGTTTTCTTTGCCCGACAATAAACATTCGTACTATAGCCGTATACAGTATGTAACAAACATACTATTTGGTTCTTTCAGTAAAGTCACGTAGGTATTAAATGAAATATGATTTATTTTTATTTAAATATGATTTATTTATAAAATATGATTTATTTTTATTTAAATATGATTTATTTATAAAATATGATTTATTTTATTTAAATATGATTTATTTTATTTTTTACCTACGTGACTTTACCGAAAGAACCAAAGAGTATGGATTCCTGCAGTCACGAAAGCTTCAAATCTAGTCTGTAACAAAACTAAAAGTTTAATTTCGATTTAAAGCTTTCGTGACTGCAGGGATTCATCTTCTTGGTTCTTTCGGTAAAATCACGTAGAAGGTAAATAATAAAATAATAAAATGTTTACATAATAAAGTAATATAATAATATAATATAATTAATTTATTATTTCCCTTCTACGTGACTTTACCGAAATAACCAAGAAGAAAAACCTAAAAGTTTTTTGCTGGGTGGCTGGCCACGCTGCGCGTTTCCGACTGGCTGGTGGAGCCACGCTGGGGGTGCCGTGAAGGGGCCGTGGTGGCGACTGGGAGAATCATGAACATTATTGGATGTCCACCGGTGCGCGGTATATCCCAATAAAAAACAAACTTTTCGCAATAATTATTCATTTTATATTTTTTTCCCCCACGATTCGCAATACCGGTCGGAAAGGAAATTATGCGGGGTGCGTCAAAATCAGTTCTCGTGATGTCGAAGCGACGCGTTCACAGCCTGTTTGCCGAATATCAGCACCCAGTCTGAGGACGACTGGCTCCGTGTTTTGACTCGTGCCCGAGGCAGATTTGACTCGTGCCTTGGTCGGACGTTTAGGGATAGGTTAGGTTGAGAGAAATACGAGCACTGACCCTTTCATGAACACTTCTGTCGACATTGAAAAACCCTGTCCTTGAGTAGCATTTGGTTGTTCACGACAGATGCATATTTAGACCTCATTTAGTGTTTCCAATAAACGATCTCAAAGCTCTCCTTGCCGTACTTGTCCATCGGCGGTTCAAGACGACGACGAAGATGATGCTCCAGTCCCACCTCAGACTCGTAAGGCAACGCAAGAAATATGTTGCTGCTGCTGCTGTTGTTGTTGTTGCTGCTCCAGGCGCTCACCCTCTTCCTGGTCGGCCCAAAAAGATCGCGTGCTCCTGGACCCAAATCAACGGTCAATATTGACTTTTTTTTAGCAAGTCTCACAAGACTGAATAAACCTTCGAACCACGTAAAACTTGGCGACAGGGTCAATTAAAGACTGATAAACAGATTTGCCGATTCGAATTCTGATTTCAGACTGTTTATGAAGACTGGTGTGCATACCTGTCAACCCATACGATTTGCACGCATTCTTGTACAGGGAAATTGAGTTTTCAGGTCCATACGGCGTACAGCCGTTTCAAAGCGGGCAACATTTTTGTTGTCTGTTTGTGTTTCTCCCTTCTGAAGGGACTTTGTAGGATGAACTTTGAGATGTATAAGGGCACTTGGTGACCAATAAGGTCTGAATTGGTCTGTAATAAGGTAGGCACTGATAAGGGGTTGACAGGTATGGGTGTGTTATGTTGCACCGGCGTACCGGCAATACGTCCATATGCTGGTGGGAAGGAGGGGACGTTTTGGGTGAGTGAAAACCGTCGTTCAACGACGGCTACTTTTCACTATCAAAAACAAAGTTTGGCTGGCTGGAGGGAGGGAGGGATGGGTGGACACTTATCTCGCAGTTCGACGACGCGCACTTGCATGGGAAGAGCACCGACGCAAGCCACCTTCTCTCCATTGCCAGGTTGCAGATGCTGCCGAGCGGGTCACTTGCACGTGGGGCAGCACGACAGCGTTGGCTGAAAACTAGTCTTGAGACTTGGTGGGGAATTCTTGGGTAGATAAAGAGGATGACGAAGAAATATTGCTTGCACGTTATTTAATCGACTGATTCATGTGGATTTGTTTGGGTTAGGAAACAATGATAGCCAACCCAACTAAGTGTGCAAGTGTTTCAAGGTAAGTTGAAGAGATTTGTGAGCAACCTAATTTAGCAATTACACAATCAATCATGTGGCTCAACAGAAGTGCATTCGCTGCTTGTTGTAGAAGTTCAATTTTCAAAATCAGAATCTGATGGGCTATGAAGCCCTTTAAAAACAATGTTCAGTAGGCGTGGGTCCGCAAGTTGCATAAATCCGGATGGCTGTCCTGGGTAATACTGCAGGTCTATTAATGTAAAATACGCACCATCGGCTTCACAGTGGACATTAAAGATCCTGTGACATTGTTCACAAGAGTGGGCAATTGTGTTCCAGCATCATCGTCCAATGTTGCCAAATTTTAAACATCACCTGCAAATTACTTAATTGAGATTAAAAATAGCAGCATTGGACCCCTACCGTTAAATGAATGCGGACTGTCTGTGAAAGTGTGCCTTGCTGATAACCTTACGTTATAACGTCAGAGGTGCGGGGGAAAGACAACAAACTTAACACAAAAACAGAATAAGGTCACTGCATCACGGGAATCCAGATGCGCTTCTGCAGCCGTCTGGAATGCTCTTCCTTTCTACATTAGGAAGCCATTGGAGCGATGCACTATTAAATCTAAATTGAAAACTCGTTTCTTGGGAACTGCTTTTTGTGTTTAGTTTGTTGCCCTTCCCCCGCACCTCCGATTAGCACGGATGGCTACGTATGGTGGGAAATAAGTTCAACGAACATTAGAATATTGATTCTTACTGGAGGATTCCAATTAGCTAGAGAGCTCTTTTCCACAGATGTCCATCCGTAAATTATTAGCAGGTGCAGTGAATAATCCTTATCATAATATTTGATACTCTCTGGTTCTTTCGGTGAAGTCACGTAGATAAAAAAAATAATAATTACGAAATTATTAAGATTTTTTTCTATTTACGTGACTTTACCGAAAGAACCAGAAAGTATGGATTCCTGCAGTCAAATCAAGATAATATTTGATGTAAATAATTGTCTATTATGAAAATGCCTGTAAAAAAAAGAGAGGGTAATTGGAAATTATTGTCTCATCCATAAATACATCATCACACTCGGTGTGTTTTTAATCCTTCAATAACTTCCCCGGAGGGCAGCCTGGCGCATACCACACGCGGGACATTGCATAGGGCCCTCTCTGCCCAGTGTCTCTCCCCTTAATAGGAGTTCTCAGGCTACGCGTGACGTGTAAGGGTTTTTTTAGGGGGGAGGGGGGGGGGGGCTCGGTGACGTCATTTGCATCACGTGGCCCTCCCGCCCCCCCCCCACCCCGCCGACGGTTAAGTTCTCGCGCAGTCGCGCATCGCGGCGGTTCAGGGGGAAATTTTTTTTGTTTTGTTTTTATTTTTATTTACTTAAAAAAATATATAAATATTATAATAACTATTGGGGGGAGGGGAAAAAAATTAAAGTCGATCATTTATTTTTCTCTCCTCGTCGCTACGTCCACAAGCCAAGGTAAATCGTGGAGGTTGTTTTTTTGTAATCGCCAACAGTGCCGCCTACCCCGACTAGGTCCGAGCAGAAGCCTCGGTCTTGACTAGCACGCCCGGCCGCCCTTGCTGGCACTCAGCAGGCATCGCACCTAGGCCAGTCACGGGAGTGCGAAAGCGGCCTTCCTACGACTAGGCCTCGGTGTCCGAGTGAACACACTTACTTCTCTTCAACTCTTTCTCTCTTAAACATAAAACAAATTACAGGCGCGACGATGTTACAGTCGTGTTGTCGTTAAGTCGTTGACGACGATAAGAACGACGTGGACGTCTGCGGTAACTACCGTGGGACGCGTCCGACTGGCACGGATGATGCCGGGGGGTAGACCGAGCTTTGAAGGGAGCTCTCGTGCATGTTGAGACGGCGTGGATTGTGGCCACCACCGCAGGGACACGAGAGACGCCTTTGGGGTTGTGGGGTTTGTTTGGTGATGAGGGCCGCCTTCGTGCAGTGTGGATTATCTCATCGTCGGCCTGATGGTCGTACGGGGTTGTTGTTGTGGTGGTGGTGGTGCTGTGTTGTTGATGTTGTGTGCGAGCGTGAGAGTGGCGGTGTGTGTGTGTTTTTACGTTGACTCGTTATTTTGTTCGCTGGGCTCCAAACAAAAGCCCCGAGGGGGTCACCCGAGAGGCGGTCTGTGCTGTTGCATAGCTGCTTTTCGTGATGAGATGCTGGTGTTTGTTCATTTTTGTAGCGATATTGACGAGGCGTTTGCAAGGATGATTGTGATATTGATGTTTTTAGTGAATGTGATGATAGGCAGTGTTGGTGTTTTGTGTAAATGCCATAATGGTGTTGCTGTATTTGTTGTGGTAGGTTATTTTTTATAGATAGTGGTTGGTCATGTTGTCAACGCGGGGATGATGTTGGTATTTTTTTTGTCAACGGTGATGTTGCTTAGTAGTGATGTGGATATGTTTTAAGGTGATTGTGATTCATGTTATTGTAACAGCGGTGAAGGTGATGCTTGATTATTATTGTTGATATAATGTCGAGAATGTGTCTTTGTAAGCATGACGTTAAATAAGGGTTTTGTTCATTATTGTGTTGATGTTTGTTTGTGAACGAGATAGTGGCATTGTTGTAATAATTGCCCTTGTTTATTTATAATTACACTTAAAGTTATTTAATAGCGATGCGTTTGCTCCACGCGTTTCAGCTCATCGGTGGATTCGTGTTCTCAAGAATGCCGCGACTTGCTGAGATTAAATAGAAAATGTTGTTTACAGCACTGTACTTGGTATTGAGCGAGTGGGGGCGTCATACGCTGGACCAGTGGTGGTTTCTAAGACGAGCCATTCAAATCCTTGCTCATACACCAATGTTATTGTGCATAATAACGGTAATGTAACCTGCAGGTTAATTAACTACTGGGTGGACTTTATCCTCACATTAATGGTATAAGTCCATGACCGAAAGTTGTGGACTTATTACTTAATCCGTCTCGTGCATTAGGCCATACATGTAGCACAACAATGCATGCGACATTTACGTTGGCATTGATGACATTAATTGTAATATTTCCTTATGTACTGTAGAATCACAATGGTGTGTGCTGGCTGTTCTGTTCCATGGGTCAATCGTATTGATACTCGTCTGTAAGAGTAGAGGTTTATTCTGTTCGACAGACAATGTATATTTATGCAAGTACAGTATTATAAAAATATAGTGAAAATACTGTCATTTATAATCTACAGCACATGCATATGTGGGGTTATAGACTGTAAATTCAATCATCTATACAAACCTAATTATTAATGGTATTGTTTGTGGTCAGTTTCAGCTCACTCATTAAAATTGCACATCACTCTGCGTGCAAATGGCCAACACAGTAATTGTGTTTTTAGTATATTCTACTGTAGTGATACAATTTGAATTAGTTACTCTGGTAAATACATAAACATTTGTGAAATCGTACTAATTGAACATAAAGTTAAAATTGTCTTTAAATGCTTTGCAGGTTAATCACGTATTCATGTAACCATATCGTTGCCCATTTTACACGGTAAATGCTTATAAGATAAATTAACAAAGGTGTTGATGTTTCCCCCAGTGCATTATTTTGGTGCAACTTAAACATATACTGAAGAAATGTCAATTTGTTCCTGGATGAATATTCTTTTTTTATCTACATTAAATGTTACTTCGACAATAAATATATTATCAGGTGCAAATACTTTTCAGCACACATTAATCATGACACTGTCTAATTATATTAATCATAATTAAATAATGTTTCTGAGTATCTTCGCTGGCTGAGTGAGCATACAAAAAGTAGCATCAAACCAGGAATTTACAGATGAACCAGATGTATAAAATAAGCACATTAGCTATGCATTAAGCTTCACTTTAATGTTACTGTCAGCCATTCCCAGTTTTTGTATGGGCAGTGAGTTTAGGCTTTTCCATAATGCAGTTTAATAATAATGATTATAACTAACAGTTCATTGCTAAACCATTGCTGTTTGAAAGCATTACTATGCCAATGTCAATCATGGAGGTTGTTTTACCATGCCTTCAATTTGGCAGTGACTTGAGAAAGGGTGGTCCTTGGCCTTGCGTTACTGTCAATGTCAATCGGTAACTGTCCATGAGAAAAACAAGGATACATTTTCATTTATTCTTGAGAAATTTGAGCAGTGTTGGAAGACGTGCCATTGAGTTTTTACTCTTTTTATGTTGAACATTAACTGATGCCAAAAGCTATTTTTGTTCATGTTATGCACAGGCTGAGTGAGGTAAATGGTTGCAGGTGTTGATCCCTAACCATATCCCAAATTAATTTGACAGGATATAATGTAATAAAATAAGATTTCAATATAGTTATATCAAACTGCTATTTTCCTGCTTGGAAAAGTCACACATCTGTCTCCTACAGTTATATTCACGCTGTCTCTTGGTGTAATAAAACCCATACATGCGTTGGAAAGTTGGGGTGGAAGGTTGGATTTCACTTGCCCACAAATATATTTTTAATGACGACTCATTAGGGCTGTCCCGATAATGGTCCCCCTGTTTGCATTTCAAAACAGACCTTGTGCCAAAAGCTTGTTTACAAATATCCACATTCGCAATGGCCCAGCAGCAACTGTAAGAATTGTATATATTATGCTTCCCTTTGTTTTTGGGAATTGCTTATGCACCCAGTTATGTGCACTACAAAACTTTTTTTACTTTTTGTCTTTGTTGGCCATACATTTCAGGTGACGAGCGTTTGAATGTCAAGCAGATTATGGGGAGGAAAAGCTATTTGAGTTTTGGAATGTTGTTTATAATACATTAAGCACACAGCCAGTGCAGTGTTGTGGCTTACAACCTTTTTGGGATAGTCATGCGACATTGTGTCGTGTATTTTTCTGGAAATTACTGTGGTTTTTATACTGTATATATAAATGACATGTTTTCATTGTATCCGTACAAGTTACTGTATGGGAAACCAGGGTGCAAGTATTGTGGTTAAAGTCCACATATTTATGTACATCTTCAGTGTCCGTTGATTGCAATCATTGAGTACAAAACAAGCTAAATGTATCCTCTTAACACTGCCCTGTGCTGTCCTTAATTCTCCTCTGTTTCCCAGCAGACATGAGTCGCCAGACAGGAGCGGCGCTGCCCAACGGGGCATCGAAAACAACGCCGGCGCAGCGCGTGCCGGCACTCACGGGCACCACGGCCTCGAACAACGACTTGGCCAGTCTCTTCGAGTGCCCCGTGTGCTTCGACTACGTGCTGCCTCCCATCCTGCAGTGCCAGAGCGGCCACCTGGTGTGCAGCGCGTGCCGGCCAAAGCTGTCGTGCTGCCCCACGTGCAGGGGCCCGCTCGGCAGCATCCGTAACCTGGCAATGGAGAAGGTGGCCGCGTCGGTCCTCTTCCCGTGCAAGTACGCGTCTTCGGGCTGCGAGGTGACGCTGCCTCACACGGAGAAACCAGACCACGAGGAGCTGTGCGAGTTCCGGCCGTACTCATGCCCATGCCCCGGCGCCTCCTGCAAGTGGCAGGGCTCCTTGGAGACCGTCATGCCCCACCTCCTCCACCAGCACAAGTCCATCACCACGCTGCAGGTGAAACTGGAACATAGGTGGTGCCCTGCCGCGAGAATGTAACAAATCGTCGGCTCCACCGGCAGTTTTAATTGTTAGAAATTGGTGGTTGAGATTGTCTTTTTATATTTATTTTTTGCTTCTAAATTTTATCGTCTCATTTGTTTTATAATTTTTGTTGCAATACATTTTCACTATTAGCTCAACTTTAATTATAGACGGTGGAGCAGTGGTGCAGCGGTTGGCGCTCCGCTCTGTGAACCCGGCGACCTCCGTTTGGTTCCTGGCCGTGGCTAACGTCAGTGGCAAGTAATATCTGAACCTTTGACCTCCTCTGTGCCAACCCGCATCATTGTAAAGTAGGTCAAACAATTCCCATGACTGATGAATCATAAACGAGAGCATCTCGCATTGGATAGACAAAGGGCTGTATTTTGATTGCTGAAATGTAACATTTTCATATCAATTGTATAAAATCAGCACAATATACTAATAATGGATTCTTACATGTACAATTTAATGTATGGATGGAGGAGGAGGATATGAGGATTGATTGAAATATATATGAATGCATGTTTCCATATGTCGTAATGATGAATGATTAATTACATCTTCACAGCTCCTCTAATTGGTCCTCATCATTTTGAAAGCATTCTGCAAATCAAGAAGCGTTGCTGTTTGAGCTTAATTGGCAAATTTGCTGGTGATGTTAAAGTGCTTACTACACCACGTTTCAAAAGATGAGCACACCGTTAACATGAACTGAGATGGCACATTGGGTATTGCGCCAGCAAAAATAAACAAAAGCTTTTCATGTTTACCATTGCAAAATATATATGTATGTAATTTGGTTACATTTGTGCGGTAGAGAACGGAAAGACTGACTGTCATAGAATTTGCATAATTGGTGAACCTTTTGAGTATTTATTTGATTAAAGGAAAAACATTCGTGCAATATACAGATCACTTGCAGATATAAAAAATGTCCCCCATGAGGTACAAAGGAATATTGCGCTAATAACTTTTGAGCCAAAATTACAATAATACTCTAATACCAACAAGGACTAGCACAATTTCACTAACAATAGAACACTAACACCTAACTATAATTCTCACTTGACAATGACTAAAGCATTGATACAACTCTCTCACAATATTGTCACATTAACTAACACTGATTATGCTATCTTTACTTAAAATTCCAATAGCACAACAAACATGAGTTCACCACTGCAAAAATACACTTCCACTCACGTAAGAAATATTACATGACACCGTGTTAAATTCTGAAATGTAATAACCGTACAAATAAAGTCTTAACACTGCAACAACTATTTCCATTATTATTATACCACTATTACAACTACAAGGGCACTTCTGCAATAATATTCTTACATCTATGGGACCTTTTTGTCAGGATCAAATGATGAAATGAAAAATAGGCGTTATCCTTTCTGGCCAGTCGGACACGTCAGTTATGGTCAGAGAGGGTAAAGCCTTCTTTTCATAATATTCTTACAATAGCAAACAAAAAATGCTTTTAAAGTACAATACCAACACGTTGCTCTTAACCGTAACAAAACACGTGCAAAAAAACTATAACACTACCAGATGCCTATTAACGATAGACCGAATACCAATACAGCAATATTAAGTGATAAGCCTTTAAAACCTGCACTAATAGTAATACAGTATCATAAAACTACAGTTACCATTCGCATAACCTTGCCACGACAAACTTTGTAATAGCATGACAATAATCCTCTACCCTTGCACAAGCTATTACACTACTATTGCAATTATAGCAGGCTAATACTGTAAGGACAACCACGATACATAAACAGTACAGCATTACAGATACTTGGCGTGCTGGAGTCGCGATTGGAGAAATTGATGGAGATTTATGCTTGAGTTTATTTAATTGAACCAGGTAAGTAAGAGCTCAAGACCACGATAGGAGTCTCATTTGCAAGAGTAATCTGGGTCACGAAAATGACAAAAGAAAAATAAATATCATAAAGGTCAGCAAAAAGCAAATGGAAGTCGGAACAAAAATTCTACCATGGAAAATTTAACATACTACACAAACGCAAATGAATGTAAAATTATAGTTAAATATTAAATTCCCTGCCACGCATAGTCTGATTGGGCAGATTGTCTTTAGTTAGACCGCAGTACAATTACAAAAATTAAGTCGCAGAAAGATTTAACAGGCGTAGGGTGACTAGTACACATGTAAATACACAAGCATATATGTGACATGCAATTTGCAACTAAAGTTGGCAAAGAATCGACAGTTTAGCATCAACACGTGAATTGGATGGGAGAGCATCTCATGGATATTTTTGAAGCGATGTAATTCTAGGTGTGTGGGGCATGACTAGAGAATGAATGAGGTAAGATGGTGCGGTGAGGCTGTTTTAACCCACGTGTAACAGCACCAGACTTGGGGATCCAGTTTGGTTCAGATTGATTGTAATTTTCAGCATTTCTCATCATAACGGTGTAATTCTAGACATGAGGTTCCTCAATTTTGGGGACCAGATGCCATGAGTCTGTGATAATGATGTGGTTGCCAATTAAAATACTAAAAAATTAAACAAATCAATTTAATGGACTCATTCGCACAACTTTACTTGGTGGTACACTGAAAACCAAACAAAACGAGAATGTAACCAATATTTAATCGGTAAATTGGCCTTTACACTTAAAATGGCAGCAGATATTCTGGTGTTGTTTCCAGCAGATTACTGGGTTTGAGAAATGCGAGTACGGGCGCGATGTTGGCAGGTGCGTGTGTTCGCCCCCTGAGAACGATTGTTTAAGGGCGCTTCATAAATGAAAGTTATTGTTGGTGCTCGGCAGGGCGAAGATATCGTCTTCCTGGCGACAGACATCAACCTACCCGGTGCCGTCGACTGGGTGATGATGCAGTCCTGCTTCGGTTTCCACTTCATGCTGGTGCTGGAGAAGCAAGAGAAGTACGACGGGCACCAGCAGTTCTTCGCCATTGTACAACTCATCGGGACGCGCAAGCAGGCAGAGGGCTTCGCCTACCGCCTGGAGCTTAATGGGCACCGGCGCCGCCTTACCTGGGAGGCAACGCCACGCTCAATCCATGAAGGCATCGCCACAGCCATCATGAACAGCGACTGTCTGGTGTTTGACACAAGCATTGCACAGCTCTTTGCCGAGAATGGCAACCTTGGCATTAATGTCACCATCTCCATGTGCTGAGGTGCTTTTAGCCGTGCCCAGGGAGCAGTGCGACTGTGTGCTGTGCGTGCATTGCACTTGCAAAAGAGACTGAACATGGTTGCCACCATCGTCCTATGAACCTAAGGCAGTTTGGAGTGCGCTTGTCACCGCCCCTCTGTGTGTGTGTGTGCGCACGTGCACGTGTGACTTGTGTGGAGTCTCTTGGCCCTTCTTGTCTTGAAGTTTCCATGTTCTGTATTGTTCTCGCGGATGTCGAGCCCACGGCACGTGCCCATTTCCTTCAAGGACCTCGCTCATCCCCACACAGAGTGGTCACTTTGTTGCAATCTTGAAACCAGCACGTATTGGATTGTGTCCTCGTTCACTTGCCCTGAGAGCCGGACACGTCAAGTTTGCATCTTCATTCTTTTCTGGATCCTAAATTGGGGTGCACCCCGAGTATGTTCAACCAATGCCATCCTCAAGTACTGGGAATGTGCACACAGTATAAACAGTGCCATCTTTACACATCTGGACGACCAGATGTAGGTGTGGCAGCCCAATGATGTGGCCAAGATGATGTGTGCAAATGAAAGGGAACTATAAAGATGTGCATTTCCATCTGCATGCGTGGAAGAGAGCTTTTGTTGGCTTACATTGGAGTTATCCAGTTCCCAATGAATGGCCACACGGTGATCCTAAAATGGCCAAGTCATTGGACATTCCCTGTCTGCGCATTATCATTTACACGTTATGTGCATGTTCACAATGTGATCATTACACCTGACGGCATGGCTGGTATGTTTAAAGTGTTCTTGACTGCTTCAAGACATTAAGTATGTAACCCCCCGCCTACACACTCTGCGTTTATTATTGAGTCTGTATTGTACTCATTTATAATATGTACACCAATGTTACACTTTGAAGCAGTGGTTGGCCTCTCTCTCCCAGTGTTAAGTGAGTTTACTGAGCATTCCCAGTGTAAATCTCTGCGCAGAACTCAAAATGGAATAAATTGGACAGTTTTATAAATTCTCACAGTAAGCTGCCATTCCGATCTCTTTTGTTTTGTCTTTTTAATGTAGTGTGACAATGCTTTCACAGGTCGGTTGGTGTCTTGGGATCTGTTCGGGAGAGGAAACAAATGATGGAGATGCATCAATGAGAACTTGCTTGCCTGCTCTAAGCATGTAATAAGGCAGACCAGCAGTGTTGTTTTATTGAAAGAGTTGTGGTGGCGTATGACAGAAACTGCACTCTGTAAATATGTCTAAAGAGTGTGGGTCTTACACTACAAGTACCAGAAGCATTCATTTGGCTGTTCTATTTGGTATTTATCTTTAAGTAATAGTTTTGATAAAACTGACCTATATGAGAGAAAAAAACAACCATTAAAGAAACACTTTTGTTAGGTTTATTGTGTTTCTTCTTTTTTACTTTTTCCCCCACTTTGGTTTTGTAATAGAATGCATGTTATGACCGCATTCATTACCCATTAAATGTGTAATATGTGCTACATGTTTGTGTCACACAAAGTACTCTCCTTAATGGCCTTGTTCATACACTTTTTATTTTTTTATAAATAATTACAGTTAGAGTAGAGACTGTGTCCCTGTTTGAGACATACCCTTATTTAATATTTTAAAGATGTTTTGCTGAGTTGCATACATTTCTTGATTTCATTGCAAGGTAGCACAGATATTTGGCAAATGACGTAACGCACATCAAAATTAACACATTTTCTGGTTTGCTAAACTGGTCTTTTGAGTGGTGGTGCAGGGAAATTGCAGTGGGTACACGTCATTCTTGGAGCTTGACATACTTTAAACCAGAGTTGCATTTTCATTGTTGTCCATGTTCAATCTCTGTTTCCATACACAAAGCTAATTGGTGGAAAACAAATTCATGAGGAATAGGCAAGATTGCGCAGCACTCTTGCAAGCAAATACATATTTTATTTGCTGATAGCCTGCTCCTTTTGATGTTTTCATGTTTTTGCATTGAATTCTGAACACCTTTTGGCAGGAATAGTAACCATGTTATGTGAATGATAACAGCCTTTTGCGCAGTTGCAGATTGGCCAAAGATTGGCTATTGATGCTGTGTAGCGGCTGCTTTGTGGTGGCTAAAGGCACTTTTGACAGGCCACCATTGTTATGCATGCTCATAAGTCAAAACCTACACATGACTAGTGTCATCATCAACATGTTTCTGCTACTGTGTCCCATAATGGTGCCTCAAAAGGGTGTAAATGCAAGGTTATCCTGCATTAGCTACTCACAGCAATATAGTAATGAAGTGAATTTCAGTTGACATTTGGGCTATTGCTTGCATTGTCTTTGATCTCCAAAGCACGTGGGCACAAAGCGTTCCTGTCAAAGCACTATTTTAGGCCAAGCCCTATTTACAGCTCTTAGGAGCAGTAAGATGGTCAAAATGCTGACTCGTGTTTGTCAATGTCGTAAAGTTGCGACATGTTCACTTCACCTGGTATTGAAAATTACATCAAGATGTGTGTCCTTGAAGAGCGCATCTTTAGTGTGTTAGAGCAAAGAAAATGTGGTGAAATAAACGACAGTATGTAGTGCAGATGGGAGTTGATGTTTGAGGTGCTGTTGGTGTTGGGATTGTCCAAACAAAATGGATGACGATGTTAAACAGTCGCAAGTTAATTTTAGATATGCACATGCAGCCAACTCACATGAGCATCAGCATTGTTAGACACGATGACGTAAGGTGTGACCTATGTCATTGCGTGCCATTTATCACCGTTTCTATTTAAATTAACATTTGATACTCATTACTAATGGTGACTGTGTGGCATGGCAGTGTAAGTTTTACTAGTTGCAATTTCTATTTCCCGTGTATTGTGAGGGGCAGTGTCAGAAAACATGACAGTCATTTTCTAGTTTCCAATTTTCACGTCGCAATGTATTGTTCCCAGAGGACCATTCACAGCCTATGTGCACTGATGTTGAACCATACTTGAGCACTTCCACCCTGTCCCCAAATTCAAGGTGTACCTCACCGTCATACTATACAGATGAGTTGACTTCCCCTTGTACAGTATATCAACTACACAATGAAAGAATGAAAGTGGTAGTTTATTCCAGGTTGCACTGTTTAAATTGTGCTTTTGACACATTGGGTAGTGTTGGTATTGACCATTGCCTCGCTGTAACACATTTGCCCTCCAGGCTGGCAAACATACACATGCTGGCAATCATTTGATTGAAATTCAGTTCGGTGGCGCTGTAATACCCAGAATTCATAGTTGCTTTGTCAATCATTACTAATCCTTTGCAACGATGAAAGAAGTGATGAAGCCTGTGATACACTATGAATACTCTCAACGTTATTGTTGGTCAACAGGAACTGATTACTTGGTTTATTGCTGATTTATTGTATAGATACCTATCATTGTTTTCCGCTGGGCAAGCATTGCATATTGTTGAACGTTATGAACAGCTTTTCAAACAATATCACAGATTATTTTTGCAGCATGTTCAAAGGCTAGGCGGTTCACAACCGATGTATACATTTCCCAGCATGGTATTTGTTCATGCAAACTTTAGAAGAGTATTTTAGTGTTGAGCAGAGAGAGTCTGGGCTTGGAAGCGGGCACCTTTATCGGATTGAAGCATGGTGGAACACTGAGAGCAGATGAGCAGTGGGAAAGGGAAGCTGATACATTGACTTACCATGAGTAGCTAGCTGTAACAGTGGTTGTGGTCTTGCTTTTGGTGTTTCTCGAGGGCACGTTTAAAATAAATTACCTCTAAATTTTAATTTGGAATTGAGTCCCGTTTAAAGAAATATGATTGCAATGTTAAAACGAGGATGTACGAGTTGGGTTCAAATGTTTGGGGACAACTGTAGTAGTTATTGGTTTTACAAAGACTGCAGGAAGAGTGATGTCCTCTTTGATGACAGCCGAGTGCTTTATTAACTGAGCAGTGCCCTTATTGTAAGCCTTTAACAAGCAAACATATTTAGTGCATTAACAGTTATGATTGTAAGCACAGTATTACAGGTAATGCTGCAGTTACCTTTTAATGGTTTAGTAGTTGAAATAACCTTTCCCATACTTCATTAAAGGCTTATTTAAATGTCATTTATTATTTCAATTTACTTAAACCTAAAGGAATTTCCGGGGGTAAATATTGCAGAATTTGGATGAATGGGCCATGTTTTTATGAAACGGCTGGTGTGCCGTCATGATGTTATTGCTCACAAAAGATCCCATTGAATGTGCCCAATCACGTTTTCGGTCTTTCACTCTCCTTGCACCCCTCTCCGTTCATCTATTAAAGCTGTCCTTGTCTCTATTACCCATTCTTTCTCTTTCCTTCCCATCCCTCCCCTACCCTCTCATGATCCCTAAGTACCCCTCTATCGCTGTCACTTATTCCTCAGCCATTTCACACCCCTGCCATCGAAATAATTCAATTCTGTCATCGTTTTTTAAGCTATGTTAATTTGAAATATTAAATTTGACTAGGAAGCGGGTGAAGAAATGTAGATAAATGTACATTATAGCATGGCGTGGGGACAACCAGGCAATTGGTGTTAGGTCGTGGAGAAAAGTGTTTATTTCAGCCTGTTGGACGATGGTGTTTCTACCTGCTTAAAAACAGATACATATATACGGGAAAAAAAATCACAGAATTTTGATCATTTAAATGGTGTGAAAGTTAAGTAATAAAATTTAATACGAAAAAATTGACAAGCATTTTAAATGGCATTGCATTTGGTTTGGCACGGTTAGGTTTTTGCTGTGAGCGATGGCTGTTCTTGGGCAGTGAATGAACACATGCACAGGCGGCGGTGTATGTGGCGAGCAGTATCCATTTCAGGAGTGAAGCCGGCTGTTGTATTTGCTTATTTTATAGAAAAAAAAAGCATTGGCCACTGACAAGTTTCTGGTCCTTTATTCAGGCTGTCATCCACATTACCTTGCACTAAGGGGAAGTTCCCAGCAGAAATTCGTTTATCCAGAACATTTACCTATTTAAGGCACTTCTACAAAGAACGTCCCTAGCAGCCAAGTAAGGGACACCACAGGCCCATGACCAATCACGGGATGCTTCAGCACTTGTGGAAATGCAAGGGACGCGGCCCCAAACTAAGCCATCATGAACACGTAAAAAATATTGTGATTTGATGTAGTACACTTGAAAGATGTATACTTGGACGAATGCTGTCAATCACTTACCACACATTTTCCTCCAATTATATAAGTTGATAAGGTGGACAGGTGCTTCCGAATAACTATCAAATCTCCATGGGTATCTGCAACAAATGTGGTGTCTGTGTCAATGCCACTCAACATTTTTTTTTTAAACCATTCTGAATGTGTTGGTTTTTTTAAGAGTTACATTACTGTGTGTTGGTTGTGCCTGTCGTTGAGGTCAGACCGTTAATAAATTCTAAACTGCATTTTTTATTGCCTAATTGTGACTTAACTGGCTTGGTCAAGCAGCTTCTTGCTACTTTGTGTCACACATGCCTTTCCAAGCCAGATGTGCCTAAGAGGTGTTGTGTGGTTGAAATAAATCACGAACCTGTCACTGTTCCACCTTGATAACCCTAAGATGAGAAACACTGGATCGCGATCAAAAAGTACATCAAAATTACATTACTTTGGTTACTTTTTGGGATGCACAGTATTGTCAGTGTTATTTTTTTCTGATGTGCATTTCATGCCTTGGCGTTCATTCCTCTTATGCTGAGAGCTGCTTTGGAGGCCTTGTAACCCTGCCTCACCAGTCTGGTTCTTTCGGTAAAGTCACGTAGGTAGAAAAATGTAATTAAAAAAATATATCACGACGTTTCGATCGCAACACAAGTGGTCATCCTCAGGCGGAAAAAAAATCATCCAGCAGTGGAACTTCTTTCTGGATCAGCAGTTCCACTGCTGGATTTTTTTTCTTCCTTTTTCCACCTGAGGACGACCGCTTGTGTTGCGATCGAAACGTCGTGATATATTATTTTCTCTTTTATTATTCTACCTACGTGACTTTACCGAAAGAACCAGAGTATGGATTCCTGCAGTCACGAAAGCTTCAAATCAAGCCTGGATGTAATCTTATTGTAAAATTCAAATGCTGATATGGACCAGCATCACTTATCACCACCCATACCAAGAGGTACATTTTGTTGATGATTATAAAGCCAGTAATGCCAAGGACCAGAAATCTTGAGCTTAACAGCATAAGGGGCATATGGAGGTGGCTCTCTTTGCGTTAAGCATGAGCTTGCTGCTGACCAGTATTTACTTTAAATGGTGACGTAAGTAACATTCACCCGGTATGCATTTTGTTGGGGGTGGTGGAATCTTTTCCAAGTGGGTGGGAAGCCTTGATGTTGACGTGAAGATGACAGTACAGCATTGCACTTTGCCCTTTGCGCAGTGTGCCATGCCAATGTTGGCACACTTAAGCTGTACGAAGCTGCAGATCACTAGATAGCAGGCACGTTCACTATGAATTCCTTTCCACCCTGTATTACCAACTGCATTGCATGTATTCTACACACCTTTTAACGAAACAATGTTAGATCTCCATGTCCATATGTGTGCATTACTCTGTATACGATGCACATTAATGGTATTAACATAAACATAGTTGTTTATAAGCAGAGAACAGTCGAGGCAATGCAAGTTAGATTTAAAATGTCATTTTGCATTACATTGCAAAGGTGGATGTGCAACTGCTCATTGGAAATCATGGTACATAGATACAATGTTTAACAACCATTATAGCTAGGCTATTTGTCCATGGAAGAATTATCATAGTTTATATTGTCACATGAAAACTGTCATCTGATGAGTCAGCTCAATATGTAAAATCCATGTGGTATATTATTAAGTCAAGTTGTCATTTTGCTGTTCCATTAAGCCATTTAAAAATATACCATCTTACTTGAATATAATTCTAATGCCAATGTTCCAAAGTGTACTGTGAGTATGAAATGTTTTTTTTTCTCGTGGCTCTGGGGGTGTGACCTGTCCTTCTCCACCTTTTTCCTCACAGCAGCGTCACGCCCCGTGCAAGCCGGGGCGTGACGAGTGAGGAATGTAAACTGCTGGTGCGCAATCATCTGACGATGCACATCTCGTGGGATTTTCAAGCAAATGTCATGTTGCCCGTAGGAGTTAGACAGAAGAGAGAACAGGTTAAGTACCACAGACATTTTCAAATATGTAATCCAAAAGTGATCATTAAATGATTAAAATGTTTTTTTATTAGGCACATTTTTAATTTAATTTCCTGCATTACAATCTTAAAGTTTATTTAAATCTACATTTTTACAATATTTATAACCAGCAGCTTGAAGAACGTGATTACTAAACAATTTTCAATTGAATTGCCATTGAAATGTGTAATCTTAAGAAGCATTGTTAATATTCACCTTCATTGTTCCTTAATAATCACAATTGTTTAGCCATGTCAAGGGGGTGGTGATTGGCAGAAGGGAAATTACCGAGTCAGCAGTTTTATGCCCCAAGCGGCTTGGAGCCCATCTGAGTCTTGGAGGCAACAGCAACTAATTTTGACCAAGTGCTTGGCAGGAAAAAGTTTCGCCCATTTTAACAATTTAAACATATTCAAGCCTTCAGGTGCGGATGTTACTGTATTGGCCGAAAATGTCTCATCAGTGTGTAAATACACAAACTTGTAGAATGTGCATAATTAAATACGAAACTACTTAAATTAAGTGCTGTGATAGGCTCACAAATAATCTTAAAATAGACTACTCGAATCGTCATCTCAGTCATCGAGAGATGCTGTGATTTGCTGACCGTGGGTAAGTGACTTGAGTGTCGGTGAATGCAGGTGGCACTCGGGTGTCATTTACAGCTTGCTGTTAATGAGGCTGGGAGTCTGCGTGGGGAATCCGCCGCTGAAGGTGGCGTTGAGCACGTCTTCCAGCGTGCGCGCCAGCACCACGTCCAGCTGGTCACGCACGACGCGCGACACCTCCTCCAGGTCCTTCTCGTTGCGCCGTGGCAGCACCACACGCTTGAGCCCCGCGCGGTGGGCCGCCAACACCTTCTCTTTGATGCCACCCACCTGCGATCCATGCACGCACGAGCAGCACCATTAAGTGTCACGTGGGAAAATGTGGAACAGCAATCGGCATTGAAAAGAGATTACTGGTCTACTCAATAGCCAGGCATGGCTGTGGAATGTGGACATTAAACAGAGGATGAAAAAGGATTGTAGCTTTCGGAAATGAAAGCTTTCGATTTCAAGGACATCATACAAAGACCACGTTTAAAACCAGGACGTTTGGCCAGAATAAATGTAAATGGTCAAAACTGAGAAATTATAATAGACACACAAGGCGGCCTATATATATGTGTAAAGAGGATGAGCGTTGATGGGCTAGCACTGCAAGGATCAGTCAATGGCTCACGAGGACATGGCACATCAACTCAGCAAATGACATCAAGGAATTGACCAAAAGCGACGCTAAGACAGCAAGAGACTTGGAACAGATGTTCCCCTATTGGTTTGCAAAGACCAATGGACCAAAGTAGAGCAACACTGGAAGCAAATGTGTGGTGGCAGCGGTGACGTCACATGCAGGTGGGTGTCGCACCGGCAGCACGAGGCCACGCAGGGTGATCTCCCCGGTGATGGCCGTGTCTGAGCGGGCAGTGCGCCCGCTGAGGAGCGAGGCGAGGCACACGGCTATAGCGGCGCCGGCCGACGGGCCGTCCTTGGTGACGGCACCCGCTGGGAAGTGCAGGTGAACATCCCAGCCGTCGAGCGGGTCGGCCCCTCCGGACGCTGAGCGTACGCACGCACGCGAGAAAGACGCTCGTGTTGTGGATAACTCGGATTTTGCGTCAACCATTCTACACAACAAAGACTAATTTCCTGGCAGCGATTTCAGCCGCATCATCTCTACAGAACAAAAAGGCTCAGTCCCTTTTACACGCACCTTTACATCATCCGCACCTAGTTTACACAACAAAGGCTCATTCCTAACAGCGCGCTTCAGCCGCACCGAACCTCACAAAAATAATATTCAGGGCCTACCTTGGCTCCTCCCACCCTCAACCAGTAAATATAAAGATACGGTTTTCTTGGAATTTCTCTTACTTGATACAGCTATCGAGCTGTGACTGTTCCACCTGAAGACGGAAGCTTGTGTTGCCTCCGAAACGTCGTGATTTTTTTTACTTTTATTAATTTTAATTTTTTACCTACGTGACTTTACCGAAAAAACCTAATAATATGTCTAATGTGAGTTTGGTAGTTTTGTAATATTACCGAGTAGCTTTTCACAGTTGAGCTGCATCGTTCTGACGTATTTTTGGGGTTTGCCGCGTGTTTAACAACTAGAAAATGCATCGGAGAGCTACTTACGTATTGTTAATAAAAAAACACTTTGACATGAACGGCCAAGTCTGTCATGGCACCCGAGTGAAGTGACTTCCAGACAGTATAATGTAAATACCGTGACTTTATGCTTGCACTACTTCAGACTGTTTGACCATGACTTAAAAAAAAATTCCCCTTCAATAACGAAGCTTCAAACTTATTTAGGTCATACCAGGACACAACCTAGATACACAGCTCCAAGAGAACAGCCTTTTTTCATTTGCATCTTGAACAAAATTGCAATCTTAATCGGAAAGTATAAATGCAAACTTAAGCACACAAAAAATGCAATACTACAAATAAATGACCAATTTATTCTCTATTTAAACATAGGTGGCATCAAAAGCTTTGACAATGATATCTTGAACAAACGGATGAACACAACATGCTACCGCACACTCATAACCAAGGGCGGCACTGTATAGGAGTGTTGTTTTTTTCCAGTACCGCTGACGAGGCCGTACGTGCGGGCGTTACTGCGGAGCCAGCTGATGGCCAGGTGAGCGGACTCCTTCATCACCTGTGGGTCGGTGGCGGGGAGGGGGTGGGGGAGAGGCGAAAGTGAACCAGGCTTGACTGAATTCACCCCAACTGCCAGCTCCCTGGGTAAGTAAACACAAGCTGGAAATACACCACTGCAGGAACAAAAAAATCCTTATAAGCGAAAAACGTATACATAAAATTCTTATTTATTACCTCGCCCAGCTGGCCGGTCAGCGTGAGCTGCCCATCTCCCTCTGCCCGCGTCGCCTCCACAAACATGATCTCCCCACCCACGGGGGTCCACGCAAGCCCGATGGCCACCCCGGGCTGACTCAAGCGCTCCGACACCTGCGATATCATTTTTCACAACACAATGCAATTGTTCAAAATGTGACGATTATGCTATCGGTTTTCCCATCACTTTTGTGATTGTGTTTCACAATTTTGTTCCACTTCATGATTGTGCTTTGCTGCATTTCCAGTACGAAGATTGCGCAAAAAACTTAAAGTGCAGTTCACTCACAAATATACTATAGGTCTTAATATCATTCTAGTTATACAATCTGTAATGCTTATGATGGACATGCTTTCAGATACTCAATAAATAATTGCATAGTTAAATTAACAATGGAAATTATTAAAGAAACTACCATGCCATCAATTACTCTTTACATTTTTTGCAATGCCCTAATTTAATAGGTAACGGCTATTTCGGACTTTCATTATTGTACTTATTTAATATATGATCAGGAAATAAAATATCAAGCACTTTTATACGAGCCACAATTATCACAATATAACTATCAGAACGTATGATAAAGTTAGTGTAGACCTCATCATATATCGTATCGCCATATTGCCACAACCCTAGCGACAGTGCTACTGATGATACAGGCATCGCACATCTCCCAGGGCATCTGCATTATCTGCTCACCTCCATCTCATAGGCAGGTGGCCCGAGGATGTCTTTGAGGGCTTGAGCGTCGATGACAATGGGCATTTCCGGGGGGTCGCAAAGGTCAATTGGACGATGCTGTATCTTCTCCTGACTCTCTGCGGATCCAAGGTCATCCTGCAGGTCGGCTTCTATACACGGCAGACACAATGCCAAATACAGAGGCCATCGTGATGGAGAGGCTGATGTAAATGATAATGTTCTACAAGGGCTAGTCTATGCATATTAAGATAACAATTTGAAAGCCAACAGTATAGTTTGGCCACCCAAACATTACAGCCTAGAAGTTGATTGGTTTTATTCATAGGACAGGTCAACCTTCGGTCATAAATCGCTGTACGCCCTATGCTTAATACTTACACATACAATCACCACCATCCATAATGTCCCTTGGAGTAAGATTCTCAAGCCACTAAATAGGTAGTAATGAATAGAGAAATGAAAGGCAAGCGTGGTGGGGGAGTGTTTAGTGCACGACCAACCCAATATTCTTCATATGGCACATGTCGATATAGAGCAACAACTATAATCTAGGATTGAAGCTTTCGTGACTGCAGAAATTATACTCATTGGTTTTTTATGGTAAAGTCACGTATGTTTCACCCCATTTCCACCTAATGATTTTGCATTCGAAACGTCGTGATTTTATTTTATTTATTAAATTTTTATTTTATTTCTACATACGTGACTTTACCGAAAAAACTAGCAACAACTATACTTTTACATTGTGTTTGAGCCAGATAATTGCATCAGGAGTAGTGGAGACTTATCGCTGTGATGCCTCCTTCGTATGTTGTGGTAGGGGAAATGATTCCTTATACGTTCCATTGTCTCTTCTGGGCAACCACAGTCGCACAACGGAGAGTTTTTAACGTTCCATTTTTCGCATCAAGTATCTGCATCTGCCATGAACCCAGTGAGCTGAGTCCAATTCCTGGCCACAACGAACATAAATGGCAAGTGATATCTCGACTGGTCTTGAGGACTGTCACCATCCCACACTGACGAGTATGGTTAATATCCAAACACTGCCTCGGGATGCCTTCCTCCTGCAGTGGATTGACAAATGACGATCAATTAGAACGTAAAGGAATAGAAATGGGGTAAAGTGTGGGTACCACGTTAAAAACTTCCAGATGTTATTGTGTCAAGTTATTTCACCCTGTTAATTTGTCATTGGCTCTTAGGCATTTCCAAAGCACCCTTCTCCATGTTTAAAAACTACGTAGTCCGTGTGGAGGAATGCAGAGTGAAATAACTGCCTCAATAAGTGGCACTCAGAGGTGTAAAGGGCACGTATTTTCATTAAATACACAGCACACTTTCGCAGGCACTATGAATGACAGTTCTAACCCAAGTCTAGAAAAAAATCCTCCATGTAGACGATGCCGGTGTGTGTTGTTGAGGTTGAAAACTTACCTTTCAAAAAGCTTGTACAACACTTAGAATAGGCAAACAATGACATCACGATACACGAGCTCTTCTATGCGTTCGTTTACTTTCTACTCTAGTGTATGCATTGTTTTTGGTTGTGCTTGGAGTATCTTCTTGGTTCTTTCAGTAAAGTCACGTGTGTATCTGTGCGATGAGCACGGTCACGTTGGTCAAACCAATTCGAACTCTCTGTAAGTGATTATAAACTCGTCAAGAGTGGGTGAAGGCTGAAAATAAATACGAGGAATAATACAAACACGTAACATACTTGTTCAGTACTCTACTAAATGGCAGGTGTTTATCTCAGCCTTCCTCCATCCTGTCCATTATGTTTTATTTTTATTATTTTATTATTTCCCTCCTACGTGACTTTACCGAAAGAACCAAGAAGATGAATCCCTGCAGTCACGAAAGCTTTAAATCGAAAAATGCTTGGAGTATGTTTGTGGTTCTATGTTTACATGCGCTACCGGTGTATTGCTGCATTTATTTGTACTTTTTACATCTGTTGCCACTTCAGAACTTAGACTCGTGTAAGGCGCGCGACATCAAGTCACGTGATGATTTGAGTGGGCACTGTTTGTACTTGCGTGATCTTGACCTGACTCATGCGACCCTGCGTTTTCAGACTTGGGCCTCCGGCTCTCGGCCACCTTGACGGCCACGGCACGGCACACGGCCGCCACCTTGCGCTCGAGTGAGCGCACGCCGGCCTCGCGCGTGTATCTGTGCGAAGCGAACGGTCACGTTGGTCAAACCGATTCGAGCACTCTGTAAGTGATGATAAACTCGTCAAAGAGTGGGTGAAGGCTGAAAATAAATAAGAGGAATAATACAAACATGTAACATACTTCATTGGTACCTCATTTGCTAGTAAAAAATATGATAATTGTTTTTTTGCCCTTTTATCTGGCCACAAAACTGACATCTTTTTTTACGAGGAGTCATGTTTGCATAGACCACAATACCTGCAGTCATAATGCAAACAAAAAACACAACTCTGATAATGTATGCAATGCCCTTGAAGTTGAAGGTGTGGACCAATCAACTTCAAGGACAGTGCATACATGACCGAATCGCCCAGAATCCCACTCAATCTCGGAAGATCTTGGAAGCTAAGCAGTGTCGAGCCTGGATCATGCTTGGATGGGTAACCACCACGTACGCCAGGTTGTCATAGGCTGCTGTTGCAGGAGGAACTTTAGCTAAATCCATTGTTTTACTGTACTTTTATGTGCTCACGTTTACGCTTTCCACCTTCACCAACAACCCGCATTGACCAGCGTGGTCAAATGACCTTCATGACCCACACGGTATGGAGAGGGCTCTTATCCAGCAGTGGATTAACAAAATGGCTGAATGTTACCCTCATGCTCATGGCATAAATAAGACGACAGATGAGCTGAAACAAATAAGAAAACAAGACAATTTTTTTAATAGATTTTTGTTTACTGATTAATGTGCCTGATTTATGACAATCTATAAAATTGCTGGGGAGGAGGGGTGGTGGCATTAATCATCACACACCTAATTGTATCCTGGCGCATGCCAATATGTTCAGGAACTAAATGGTAATGTCGAAGGCTGTTCACCACGAGAGGACTTCAGGGGAGAGTTCGTGCAGTTGAAGAAGTGCAGACTACCGTGGTTTATATTTCGATTTAAAGCTTCTTTCGTGACTGCAGGGATTCATCTTCTTGGTTCTTTCGGTAAAGTCACGTAGAAGGGAAATAATAAAATAATAAAAATAAAACATAATAAAATAATTCTCACGACGTTTCGGCCACAACGCAAGCAGCCGTCCTCAGGTGAAGACCAGGTCTGTCGGGGAGACAGCTGTGTGATGATTAATGCCTCCCCGACAGACCTGGTCTTCACCTGAGGACGGCTGCTTGCGTTGTGGCCGAAACGTCGTGAGAATTATTTTATTATGTTTTATTTTTATTATTTTATTATTTCCCTTCTACGTGACTTTACAGTGGTTTACTAACCAGCCCCCATAGTTTTGGATGCCTGGCCACAGTCATGCTGTAGCTTGTCTTTAACTTTCCATTCATCAAAAGGTGCCCTTCAGCCTGTTGATGTTCATAGACAGTTGATGGTACACCAATGTCATCGAGAAACATCTAATGTTCACCATTCTCATGACTGCAAACTGGGCAATCACCTGCTGACGATGAGGGCAACGGAGTCTGAAGGAATGCTCAGCTGGGCCTCTGTGAGCCCGTGCTGCTCCAGCTGTTTTGGCACCAGGTGGCGGCAAGCGATCTCCACCTTCTCCTCCTGAGTGTAGCCTGGCGGCCGTACACAGTCGCTCACATGTTTCAGGCAAGGCACAAGCCATGAAGTGTGAATGCTTAATTGGCCGCGTGCATTATCAACAACTAAAGCAGCACCTTTTGGTGGTGGTCTCTATACAATATTAGAGCCAGGCCAGAAGCGCTCTAAATACACACACGTGCACGTGTGTATGTGTATGCAAAACCCTCAAGCTACTGCCCAAGGCTATTTCGCTGACAGCCTTGATGGCGCTTGTCTTTCATCTGGTTTTTGCAGTCAAGTGTTGGTGGACCATGTACGGATATGGAAAATTTCCAAACCTGCTTGGCTGCAAGTTGGTGACCAGGAATCAGTGAGGCTTTCGTAAATAAAAGGCCTTGTATTTTTATGAAAATGTAAAAACTTCACATTTACCGTAGTCACGATTGTAATGTAATTTTAACCATCCCAGAAGTAATTTCAGTCTAATTGTTCGGAGGCGTTCTTCACTTTGTGTAAATAAACAGCTTTCCCTTGGGACTGAGCCATGCTGCCACCAATGATGCTTCTTCTGTTGTCTTTCATGATAAAGACCTCCGATACTGAGATCAGGACAAGGCATCAGATATGTCATCTCTCCTGATATAATTGTGTCACGTGACTCTCGCCTCCCATAACAACATGGCTGCCCCCTGCTGCATGGGGTTAAGTATAACAGATGATATGTCTACATACAGTTGCCTAAACAGCGACTCAAAAGGATATTTCAAGATTGTTTTGTCATTAGCTATGTTCTACACACTTGTGGATGAAGACCTCTCCACGTGATGCCACAATCCATCTCGCTCTTGCACCTGAGCTAATCTCATCACTCCATCTCTTGGGCGTGTTCCCTACCACCAAAACATCACCAGTCTGCTCCATCAGCTTTGATCTCTTCTACGGATGAGTACTGCCCAAAATTACCTTCATTGAGTCCATTTCATTTATCTCGTGTGATTATTCCCTGATCCACGTGTCTCTTTCTAGCTCAATTGAATTCCACGATTGCAACTTTGTGCTTCTTTGCACTCTTGTTTCATTTAATCTCTCAATTGTCCAAGTTATTTAATGATTTTTATCCCGATAGCCCTTCAATATTTATCCTACGTATACATACCCTAACGTGTTTGCTTGTTGTGTCTCTCCAACAGTGATTTTGCTGACAACAAAAGGAAATGATTGTTTCATATACGAGATTAACCCTAGCAAGCAATTCATATCACACACATAATGGAGCAGTTAATAGTTTTAAGATATTCTTTGCAATATATATTTTTTTATGACAGCATTACTTTGTAGGTAGCAAAGCTGTGAAGAAAAGTATACACCACCTCACCTCCCAAAAGTCCCATTGAGAACTTGATCAAACCTAAATGTCTTTTCATGAGTTACCACGTATAGGGGAAGGGCCTTGGGTAAGTTCATGTTTATTGCGAGCCTAACCTGACACCTGGATGATCTCCATGCGGTCAAGCAGGGCTGGTGGGATGCTTGCTGTCGAATTTGCCGTGGCAATGAATAGCACCTGGCAGAGGTCGAAGGGTACGTTGAGGTAGTGGTCTGTGAAGGTGCTGTTCTGCTCAGGATCCAGAACCTGGGTGTTGATGAGGATGGGTGGGAGGCAAAATGTCGACATTTTAATAAAATACGACTTGAAATTTTCATACCGATAAACCATTAAATGGATGGCACTTGACATTCAACAAGATCAATTGACTGTAATCATAACTCTGGGTGGATGAACGACATGATTGCCTGCCTGCATGCATATAGATTGTGCCTAAGCATGTGTGCGTTGCATGTATTTGCTGCGGTTGAAATGCTCTAAGTTCGGAGACATGATATGTGGTAGATAAGCTCGTGGATGGCATACCTGCCAGTGATGGCATGAGACCATTAGTATAGAGTGGTAAAGGATGTATTTAACAAGGAACTGTAAACTCCGTTTTATCCTTGCTGTGGGAATGATGGATGTTTTGTTAAGTAGTGATTATTACACTCGTGAAATGCATAAACATTGACAATATCCCAGTGGAAGTGTGAGACATGTTGATTATGGGACACTTGAGAGGTTTGGTGTGTTCTATACAAGTTTGCATGGTGTGTTGCATATAGATTTGTGCATGTGTTTTTTTCGCACGTATGTTTGCATGCTGTGTTGTAAGATTGTGTCGTGTGTTGTGTTTCCACCGGTGGATGAAGCAGACATAACAAGGGGAACTCTCAGCGGAAGGTTGCCAAGATGGCAGGGCGTGGAAGGGCGGTGCAGCTCCTTCGATAAACAAAACATTTTCCATCGAGCATCCATGTACTTGTTTAAATAATGTTCACGGCTTGCGTGTTCCCTCTGCGTCCCCGCTAATGTGTACCATCAAGCGGCTGAAGGTCACCAATCCCCCTGTATTCTCCCCCCCACTGCTGCGTGTGTGTGCGCGCGTGCCTCGAGTAGCGCTGCGGCCGGATCTCCCTGTATCCCCTTGCCCAGCTTGTCAACCTCGTCGAGCAGGAAAACCGGGTTGCGCACTCCCACCGCCTTCATCCCGCTGATCACGCGCCCCGGCATGCTCCCCACATACGTCCGCCTGCATGCGCCCACAGCAGACAGCACACGTGCACCCGGTGAATGGGATTTCATCTACTCGGTGTATTTTGTTCAACTCTTTTTCAAATAAGGTTGGAAGCGTTTATGCATGAGCTCTGCATGTTATTCCCTCCCATCTCTAGGCGGGAGAGTACAATAACTTTTATACAGTTGCTAACGAGATCCTAAATCATGTAAAACACATTGTGTACATTTAAAGAGCCACCACATATCCACAACCTTAAAAAGCTTTGTATATGAATAAATAAATTAGGAAAAACCATCCATACGCAGCACACATCATGTAACGCTTCTGTATATAGGTTTGTCTTCGGAAGTATTTAGCAATATGGAAACCGACAGGTCGCAGCAAAAGTAATTGGCATGTTTTTCAAAGATATTTTTTTGCCCTGGATTGTGTCAGCAAATTAGCTTCATACTACAGGTTTGTTCATATCAGATCCTCTTCATGAGAGCCATCATGCGCAACCGTTACACGAAAGGCGGACAGAGCTTTTGCAACCTTAGCCGAAAAGCGCAAAAATAAAAAATATCGGTGCAATATGGACTCGATCAAATTCCGTGCCTGTGCCCGCGGATGTCGGACTGGTCGCAGATGCCCCCGAGCGAGATGCGGTGGAACTCCCGTCCGAGCGTTCGCGCGATGGAGCGCCCCACGCTCGTCTTGCCCACGCCGGGCGGCCCCACGAAGCACAGGATGGGGCCACGCAGGCCGGGCCGCAGTTGGCGCACGGCCAGGTACTCGAGCACGCGCTGCTTGAGCCGCTCCAGTCCGTAGTGGTCGTTGTCGAGGAGGACCCGAGCCGCCGCCAGGTCCAGGCGGTCTGGTAGAAACGGTGGATATGGCATCAGCGGTTGTGATCTCGTTTATGTACGTGCGTATGTATGAACCGCCTTCACACCGAATGTAGCCCACCGCACTAATAGGAGGTGTGGGGGTGCACTAATCGTTTATGGCCTTCCTGCGGTACTGTGGAGAAAAGAAACCAGCCAGCATACTCTTTGGTTCTTTCGGTAAAGTTATGTAGATGAAAAAGATAAATAATAAAATGAAAATAACTAAATTAAATCACGATGTTTCGGAGGCAGCACAAGCTTCCGTCATCAGGTGGAAACAGCCACAACAAAATTTTTTTTAATTTTTTTCATTTTTCATGTACGTGACTTTACCTAAAGAACCAAAGAGTATGGATCCTTGCAGTCACCAAAACTTCAAATCTAGAATAGACCAGCCAGCCTTTGAGGATTGGAATAATTGCTTGTGAGCTCCAATTGGGATACATATCTATGTATGTTGACATCTGTTCGCCCCTTACGTAGCCAACCCTCCTAATCGGTTGTGCAAGGTATGTAGTGGCATATGGATATTGTGGATTACACCCATAGAATGGATTCTGTAGATTACACACGCCACATCGAGTTGTGTGTAAAAATGTATTATGATTTGTGCAAATTGAATGCTGTTATCTATACGTTACTGAAGGAATTTTAAAAAACTTAGACAGAAAAAACAAGAACATATAAATGAAACAGTAAAAATGTAACAAAATAATTGACTGTTGAACTCAATTATGACGAAGTATAACATATTATTGGTTCTTTTGGTAAAGTCACGTAGAGAGAAAATAAATAAAAAATAATAAAATAAATAATTTTCTAAACATAAAAGCAAAAAACACACAACACAAGCGGTCTTCATCAGGCAGAGAGAAAAGAGGGCAAGCCTCCAAATGCAACTGCTTATAAGGGTTTCCAAAGTGAGTAGGCAGGGGACGAGATTTGGGGGGGGGAGAGCTTGTGCAGCGTAAACAGCATGGGCGGGGCAGCCAGTCAGACAATGGGGGGGAGGAAGGGGTAGAGATAGGGGTAGAGAGAGAGGGGGTAGAGATAGGGGTAGAGAGAGTGGGGGTAGAGATAGGGGTAGAGAGAGAGGGGGTAGAGATAGGGGGAGAGAGTGGGGGTAGAGATAGGGGTAGAGAGAGAGGGGGTAGAGATAGGGGGAGAGAGGGGGGGTAGAGATAGGGGGAGAGAGTGGGGGTAGAGATAGGGGGCGAGAGAGAGGGGGTAGAGATAGGGGGAGAGAGTGGGGGTAGAGAGTGGGGGAGAGAGTGGGGGTAGAGAGTGGGGGTAGAGATAGGGGGAGAGAGTGGGGGTAGAGATAGGGGGAGAGAGTGGGGGTAGAGATAGGGGGAGAGAGGGGGGGGTAGAGTAGACAATGGGGAGTTGGGAGGACTGTGCATACACAGCATGGGCGGGGAGACAGTGGGGGGGGGGACAAGGGGGGTAGAGATAGGGGGAGGGAGGGCGGTAGAGATAGAGGTGGAGCTGAAGGCGAGGGCGCAAAGTATAACAATTCATCATAAATACCAAACGAGCTCGACTTTTACCAACTACATCGGTTTGTGATAAGCAATTAACTTTAGTTGGGGTCAATGTCTATTCAATGCGAACACGGTGCCCGTAAAAGGCGGTGAGTAAAGTCGGATTAAATTTCGATTTAAAGCTTTCGTGACTGCAGGGATTCATCTTCTTGGTTCTTTCGGTAAAGTCACGTAGAAGGGAAATAATAAAACAATAAAAATAAAACATAATAAATAATAATAAAAATAAAACATAATAAAATACAATTCTCACGACGTTTCGGGCCACAACGCAAGCAGCCGTCCTCAGGTGAAGAACAGGTCTGTCGGAAAGACAGCGTCTGAATTTGCACGAATCATAATACATTTTGCACACAATGAGCTCATTCAGATGAAAGAACCAAGAAGATAAAGTAGGATTCTGACTTATCTTCATGGATAATTCAGATTTGTTTCTTCTTTTGCATCGGTTTACTTTTCTCGAGAATTCCAGGTTTATCAGCTGGGGGTCGGTGAGGCCGTGGTAGCACTGACCGGTCGTGCACTTGCTCCAGGGCAACTCCACCATGAGCTCCAGGTAGTTCCGAGTGAGGGCAAATTCTGGCATCGTCTGTGGCATCTTTCTTAGTCTGTGGAGATGGAACGGAGGGATCTCTCGGTGCTATGCATTGGCAGAGGTCATGGAAACAGAGGGAGCAACGATTGATGACCTTTATCTAGAAAGGGAGCGGTGGTGGCACAGTGGTTAACGCACTACGCTATGAACCTGGTAACCCGAATTCCATACTCGGTCATGGCTAATATCAGATCCGAGTGATATCTAAATAAGTCCTGCTACCCCATTCACCCACCAGCAGTGACCAGCAAGTATGGTCAAACAAACCTCCATGGATACGGTTAAGGGAAGACCTTTATTCAGCAGTGGATCTACAAATGGCTGTAAATAATTACTCCGTGGCAAATGAGACGAGAAGGTTATTTTTCAGCTGAGACCAGAATTACTCTTTGGTTCTTAACGAAAGAACCTTAGAGTGTAAAGCAACTGTTATTACTGGTATCCTGATGTTTTAAGTGTAAGTTCACTGAAGCAACAAATGTAGCGCTTACATTGTAGATATATACCAATGCTTGTCCGACAATGCTCTACGCAAGTATGAGATTTTGTCAATGTAAAAATAACATTTAGAGACTTTCAGAAAGGGGCTTGGTAGTATGTGATGTTGTCACTGTAGTGCCATTAAAAGTATGCGTGCAACGGTGCATCGATTCAATTAATACATTTGATCCTTATGCTCGCAAAATAATACAATTATACATGGTGTGGATTCATTGCGTATTTATGCAAATGATATACAAACGTATTCCTGTGTTACATTTAAGCTAAAGTAGTGAACAAAACTATACAACCGAAACATAAGCGGAAACAAATGAGCTGGTAAAATTTGGCTCAATTCATACATTTTATCCTTATGCTCGCAAAATAATACAATTTCCATGTGTGGATTCATTGCGTATTTATGCAAATTATATATAAATGTATTCCTGTGCTACATGTAAGCTAAAGTACTGAACAAAACTATACAACCGAAACATAAGAGGAAACAAACGAGCCGGTAAAATTTGACACTAAAGAATACATTCATGAATCGAATTGCGACTATTCATCTAATTACCAGAGGGGTAAACCACTAAGTGGCTCTTAAAAATCGTGGCGGTCGCACTGTAGTGAACTCACCAGAATGCACAAGTCAAGTTGAGTTTTTTTCCCCTTTTAACTCAACTTCAAACTTATTTTAAAAGACCGTGAACACACAAGCCAGGCGTGCGCGTGTTCTCTAGGAAAAATAAGATCTTACTCTTAGTTCTTTCGGTAAAGTCACGTAGGTAAAAAATGAAATCAAAATTAATAATAAAAAAATCACGACGTTTCGGAGGCAATACATGCTTCCGTCTTCAGGTGAAACTGTCACAGCAATTTTGATTTTTTACCTACGTGACTTTACCGAAAGAACTAAGAGTATGAATCCTTGCAGTCACGAAAGCTTCAAATCTAGAAGAGATAATATCTATTTGGGTTGGATGCTGCTTCAGTGTGACCCCCACCCGGGCACCTTTTGATTTCCTTGGCGCAAACTCGGAGGGCGACGTCGGTCATGCCGCAGCTCCGCACCTTCCTCTCAAGAGATGCGATGTCGTCTTCCTCCTCGTCCCCATCCTCCCCGCTCAGGTCCAGGAGGGCCTTCCTGCCACCCAGCGCTGCTGCACCCTCGCGCCGCACCAGCCTCCCCGGCAGCACCTAGCGCCAGGGCAAGAACACGAGAATGGCGATTCAACGTTTTGGATATTTTCTTTATTTCCACTCCCCCCCCCCTTTTTCCCACCAGTTTTATTCCATTCGTATTGCTGGCTTCATTTCATGAGACCAAGTGTCCATTTGGAAACTATCACAAAGCAGCTTCAAAATCGCGTTGGGACAGCCCATACAGCCTTACCCAAGCTTGCATTTGATTTTGATAAACCTGCAAAAATTTATGTATATACAAGTGAAATTTGTACTTCCATGTGATATATATTGACTTGCCTAGCTTTTTCCATCTTAATCTTGTGGCCTTCCTTGTATTTTTTTTAGGTATCTCGCTCAGCCACCCCTACTGGACAACTGTGAAAAACCGCTTCATAGCTCATCAGATTTCTCCATTATAAATTAAGATTCTGATAAGATGAGAGCTATTTTTTTAAAGATAAGTCTTTCTTGAAGGAAGTGGTGTCAGGTAGCAGGCATTGCCTTGTTGTCCAGGAGGGAGGAGTCACTCCTCCTCGCCTTGTTGATGAGTTTGACACCCTCAATCTGTCGAACCAGCAGAGGGATGGTCCGGCGGAACCGCTCCTCCAGTTCCACCGCCTCCAGCACCTGATGAACGACACCACCCACGCAACTCTCAACACAATGGTTCTCAAAATAAAAATGAGCAGGCATGAACTATGGTACATCACGATTGCATACTGTTAGTGTGCAGTCATTGGTGACCAGGCCAAGGCAATCCAGTGATTTCAGGTGCTCATGAATGAGACAAGTACAATGAGACCTGGCCAAATCTCATCAGATCTCAGAAGCTAAGCAGGTTAGCGCCTGGAGAGTGCTTGGATGACCGACCACAATGCATTATAGGCTTCTGCAGGGCTATACTGTAGGTAGCCTAAGGCCGTATATAAAATCCATTGTTGTACGGTGCTCTAACATCTAAATCCCGCTTCACTAAGCTGCACTGAGCATACACGTGAAGCATAGTCAAGTAACTCCTATGGCCCACATGGTGTGGGGAGACACCAGTGAAATATCAAATTACTGTATATGTACACATGAATCTAACACACACACTGTCGGGCGTAAATCTTGACTTAAAGCTTTCGTGACTGCATGAATACATATTCTATTGGTCTTTCGGTAAAGCCACGTAGATAGAAAAATAAAAATAATATCACGACGTTTCGATCGCAACACGAGCAATCGACTTCACCTGAAGACGATTGCTTCAGGTGAAGAGGATTGCTTGTGTTGCGATCTAAACGTCGTGATATTATTTTTATTTTTCTATCTACGTGGCTTCACCGAAAGACCCATAGAAAACTGTAGGGTGTGTTAAACTTGCCAATCTCAACTCAACTGCACAGCAATGTTGCACTGACAGTGTGCAGATTTTCATCAATCTGGATTCATATTCACACACCTTACTTTCATCGTACATGCAGTGAGAAACATTCTGCGATCCCTTCTTCAGTCATTCAATCTCCCGGCATACCCATTTAGCTTTCAATTAATACAAGACCCCTCACATTTGTAATGGATAGGAAAGTGAAAACAAATCAATTGCACATTCTTCTCATGTCAGAGCACAGGCAGGATGTGTATTAACTAAGGAACATGGTGGCCAAGGGAGCCTAGTAATGCACTGCGGGGTTGAGAGGCACGCTTTTTTCCATTCACCGCCTTAGTTTTGCAGTTCCCCCGTATTGCACATAAATGTAATGTTTTCCCCGTTTTAAGTAAATTATGTTTCTCATGATATATCGTGCACCAAAGAATTGATTATTTACGATTTATGCAAATCATGCACAAGTTGTCCATTCAGAGAACGCTTATCGACGACACTAATGTTGGCGAGCAGAAATCATTACAAGCATTGCTAAGCAACCTACAAATGCACCTAGCCTGGCACAAGCGCCCTGGTGACACCACCTCCACTTTAGTGTCGAATGGCGACCGTGGCTGCGCGTCTCGTCACCTGCAGCTTCTCAGCGCGGGACGTGCGCACGATGGAGGCCACGATGTCGGGGAGGTCCTCAGAGGGCAGGCTGTCCAGCAGACGGCGCAGCTGAGCCACCACAGGCACAGACATGTCCAGCATTCCTGCCAGCTGGTTCACGTGCAAAAGGACGGGGGGGGTGGGGGGGGATTATGGAGTTTTAGCCAGGACAATGTCACATTCATTTGGGTGGCCATGTTACCCAGGGGCAGAACCGCTTCTTATTTCCAACTAGTTTTAGGTATATTATACATTTTATGGTTAAACGGCAGTGACTATTAAAGTATACTCCAGCCTATAAAATATATGGAGACCATTGCAATAACTATGATCAATCAGACTTATTAAGTCCTACATTGCTTCCCACTATAAACATTAGGACTCGTCCCCGAGGTAAGGAGTTCATACATTGTGTGTCAGATAAAATCTTTGTAATAACTTCCGAAGGGCTCTTAACTCCTTGGAATGGACTAATTTCCATGGAAACTTCAGCCTCATCTCACTATCGTGGCTGCGATGGCAGTTGCCGTCTGTCGCAATGGATGTATGATGAATGGCATTCAATCACCACTCTTTGCCTTGTCTAAGCGCGCAATGTTGTGGACAATGGAATTATCTCATTAAATCACTCATATTGCAGCACATCTCTGGAACAACACAATCGACTCCATCACTACATTCAAGTCACAACTCAAAAAATCATAAAATGCAGGCAATACAACTGTATAGAATTGCTTCTTTTTATGTTCATGTGTGAAATGATGTGATGGCACTATGGGTGGCAGATTTGTGCCAAAGATAAATTGACTTGACTCATCTGTTGTTTTGATAAGCAGGTGGCAGTGAGGTGGTAGTCACTAAGCTGTTTGTTCCCAACATTGAATGCTGTTGCCCACTCTCCAGGTGACAAAAAAACCTTGCATTTTTTAAAGGAAATTTTTGGTTCTGGAGTTATCAGCAGCACGACATATTTTTTTTGATAAATAGGAATGAGCAGTGGAGTACAGTGGTTGGTGAATTGAACTATGAAGCCGGCAACCTAAGATTGATTCCTAGCCGCGGCTAACATTAGTGGCGAGTGATATCCACCCCGGTACTGTTCCTTCCCCTAACGATCACCAACCTCCACTGACCAGCGTGGTAAGGTATGGTCAAACAACCCCAACAGCCTGCATGGCATGTGGTGGCCCCTCATCCTGTAGGGAATTGACACCTTGCATATTTCTCAGAACATGGCGTACTCTCTCCCTCAATTGTCTGGATTTGCATCATAAACAGCTGTAAAAGAAGGGCAATGTACAAGGATCGGGTCCTCCCACAGTGCCTAACAGTTGCTACCTTGCGCGCGTGCTTGTAGAACGTCTCCGTTAGTTCCGTCAGCTCAGCGCTGCTCTCCGAAGTCTCGCGGCCATCACCGCCGGCTCCAGGCTGCCCGTTCTCGAGGTCGGGACCGGGCCCCAGGCGGTCGAGCTGCTGCACGTCGGCGAGGATGTAGGGGTGCTGGCGGCGCACAGCGAGCACACGGAAGCGGCACAGGCCCGTGACGAGCAGGGTGTAGTGCGGGCGCGGCCAGTTGCTGCCCGTCACCTGCACCACTACGGCGGCAGTGCCCACCCTGCGGTGGGAGACCAGACGGATACAGTAGTAGTTTTTTACCCTTTAAACTGGTACAAAACTGACACCTTTATACAAGGCATCATGTTTGCAATAACCACAAGTAGTCAAAATGCAAAAAAGAAACAACTCTGATAATGATATGCACTGTCCTTGAAGTTGATTGGTCCAAACCCGAGACAGCTTTCCTTAGAGCCTAGTCTCCATTGGTGTTGGACCAGGTACGCCTTTTGGTGTCATCTGGTCCAACACCAATGGAGACTAGGCTCTAAGTTACACTTTCATATACACACGCATGTACAGCCATTGTCAATCCACTGCCAGACAAGCGCCTTCCCCACACTTTGCAGGGTTGTACAAGTTATGTGACTATACTTCAGGACACTGGTCAGCGGGGGCTGAAGGCGGCGAGCGTGATCAAAGAAGTACGGTGGAGCAACGCACTTAGCTGAACTGTCCTCTGCGGCACCCAGCGTAGCCCAGTAGCAGCCGGATGACACGTTTTATATATGTGGTCTACGCAGCCATGCACTATCCCAGCTAAAACGTGCTTCTGATATCTGACGAGAACGGCCGCATTCAAGGCGATTTGGTGACGGGCAACATATACATATACACTTACATTCACAATACAGTCACACACAAACTAGTCACGTAAACAGGAACTCGTGCACACATGTACACATTCAATACACATCAAGAAAATATTTCCCATACATAATTGACTCCTGGCGCAAGTGTTGTTAGAGCACATATTAAGCCAACTCCACGTCCGCCCACCTTTGTCTTCCCAACGCTGATGTTTACTCACCCCACCAGACCATTATTTAAAGCCGAGATGACCAAGGGAAGGCCCAGGACAAGCTTCGATACCACTTTCCACTGACGTCACTATGTAACACAATTTTCGTTCCTGGGTAGTAAGTGTTATTTCGTAATTGCTTATGCCTAAAAAGTATAGAAAATGGCTATTATTCCCCATAAACTTAGATTTTGTGACCAGGACAGTAATATTTTTAAATATACTTATTTTCAATGAGAAAACGGGGGATTTTGTGTCTTTTCGTTCACGGAAAGTCAGAAAAAAAGTACATGAATCAAAATTAACATCTATTTATGCTAAAGTCATGCAAAAAGGACTACAAATGATTTAGAAGCGAGTAGTTTTTCGAGATTTTACGGTTATACTGTAAATCACTTTCATGAATCAGCCCCCTTCCATCATGTTCTCGTGATACTGTCCTTGGTAGCGGCATTCAAAGTCCAGTTTATCCTGGTGGAAGCGCTCGCCTTGCTCCTCCGAGTACGCTCCCATGTTCTCCTTAAATTTATCAAGATGAGCATCAAGGATGTTGACTTTGAGGGACATCCTACAGCTCATTGTGCCGTAGTTCTTCACCAGAGTCTCAACCAGCTCCACATAGTTTTCGACCTTGTGATTGCCCAGGAAGCCACGAACCACTGCGACAAAGCTGTCCCAAGCCACTTTCTCCTTACTAGTGAGCTTCTTGGGGAATTCATTGCACTCCAGGATCTTTTTTATCTGTGGTCCGACGAAGACACCGGCTTTGACCTTTGCCTCAGACAGCTTGGGGAAGAAGTCTTGAAGGTACTTGAAGGCTGCCGACTCCTTATCTACAGCTCTGACAAATTGTTTCATAAGGCCCAATTTGATGTGCAGCACCTTCTGGGGGTCCACCAGTGGCTCCCACTTGACGTTGTTCCTCCCTACAGAGAACTCTGTCCGCTGTGGCCATACCAGCCTGTGGTAGTGCGCCTTGATGTCCCTGCTGTCCCAAAGGCAAAGATAGCAGGGAAACTTGGTAAAACCGCCTTGGAGACCCATCAGGAATGCCACCATTTTGAAGTCTCCGATGACCTCCCAGCCGTACTTATAATACTTCAAGGCGTCCATCAAGATCTTGATGTTGTAATCCTCTTCAAGGTGCACCGAGTGAGCCAGGGGAAGAGACGGGTACTTGTTACCATTATGGAGCAGCACGGCTTTGAGGCTCCTGGGTGAGCTGTCAATGAAGAAGCGCCACTCATTCTGGTTACAGGCGATTCCGATTGCCTTGAACAGACTGGTCACATTGTGGCAGAAGCAGAGCCCATCTTGATGGGTGAAGAAACTGCAAAAAGGTTGGTGACGCTTCCTCTGATCTGCGCCTTGCACACTTTCATCCAACAAGTTCCACTGCTTGAGCCTAGACGTCAAAAGCTCGGCATTGGATTTGGCGAGACCAACATATCCGATCAAGTCGTTAAGGTCTTTTGGTTGGGGTAGTATGGGTTTCTCTCCTCAGCTCCACCTCTGATATTGTCATGTGGATCTACAACGTCTTCCTTGCTCTCTGACTTGCTGCTCTCTTCTAAAGATGGCTGCTCTCTCTCCGGAGGAGTGGGTTACGGGGAGCTCATGGCAGTGTGGCACCGGGGCGATGATGGAAGGTCCAAATATGTGATGGCAGGTGCATTCTTGCCAGTCCGACGTTTGGAAGGGTCCACCATGCAGAAGTATCAGTTGCTTGAGTGGTCAGTGGGTTCCCGCCAAATTATTGGATCGCGAACTTCATGGCTCTCTTTTCCCCTCTGTAACATTCTACAAAAATACATTTATTTCACCCATGACTAATGTGTAAGAGATTCTCACAACATTTTTCATGTATATATTTTTTCAAGAACATTGAAAATTGTTAAACATTTTTAAATGAAAAACTTTTAAAATTAAATAAAATGTTAACAAATTTCAATTTCATAACATACAATTCCGAGCAACAATTGTCCATCTTACCTTCCAGAGTTTTTATGCATTGCTCGCAGGTGAAATGAGGTGCCCAGGGTTTGTCTTGATCCCTGACAGGCATGCTGAAATATGCCTTGTCGGCCTCACACATCTTAGCAGATGCTTCCACAGAGTACTTTTTCGCTCTAGTCTTGATAAATTGGCCGCAGATATAGCAAAATGCGTCTGCCGGATGCTTGCAGCCTCTTGATGCCATCTCAGAAAAATGCAGATATGTAGACAGAGGCAGCTGGAACTAAACTGAACTTGTGGGCTTAAGGCACCTCTATTTATACTATTTATATTGCTGGAAAGTTCTAGAATGTTCTAGAAGTTACTCCAAGTTTACTCAGCACTGAATCTATCTGAAATGTTCTGGAAAATAGGTACATTTCAAAATATCACTGTCCTGGTCACAAAAGCCAAGTTTGTGGGGAATAATAGCCATTTTCTGTACTTTCGAGGCATAAGCAATTAGGAAATAACACTTACTTCCCAGGAACAAAAAAATCATTACACAGTGCATTCACCATTGCCGGGAAATTAAACTTAAGTCGCGACAAAAAACACTGCACCAACAACAAACTCCCCTTTATCACTGCCATGTTGATGATCAGTTTAACACGTGGGAGGCTTTCACGACCAATATCATCCATAATAGAGGTTTTTGGGTTAGATCGCATAAATATATAAATGTATCGTTAAAACCTGCCACCACCCGCCTGATGAAGCTAGTTTTAATTACTGACGAAACGTCGTACTCAGTTTGTAAATGTTGTGGCTTGGCTCTCCAACACGCCGGTGTGCTGTACTAGTGACGAATTGGCACGTTCTGTTTTAGTGACAACCCTTGCTGGTTGGCTGTGTCGGATGGTGGCGGGTTTTAATGACGCATTTATATATTTACACAATCTAACCCAAAAACCTCCATTATGGCATCTTAATGATTTTGTTATATTGTTGTAAGCGAATACAGCATTGACTTTTGCTGTGCAAATTTGGAATAAAGGAAATCGTGTAATCACGCAAGTGAGTGGCAATGTAACCAAATACGAGTCAAAGGTTTACATCAGAACACGGTGGCCCACATGGACTTTGCACTTCAGACGTTGACCTCCCTCTGCATGCGCAAAGCTGTCCTGTACAATGGTTCAGACCCCACTCCATGATAGGGGTTTCCCTGTCGTCCCCCCCCCCCCCCCCACAATTTCATTTTTCATTCTGCCTATTCATCATTCTGCCCATTCCAGAGCACCCGATCGAACAACTCAATATTAATGTATTTCTCTACAGCATGGAGATTTCACAGCACCTAACCCAGGGGGGTTGGCAAACCTGCGGTCTCTTTAAGGACTGCTTGTTGACGTTATTTATTAAGGACCGTCTCGTATCCACGAGCATTGCGGCTCTTGAAATATATTACCGAATTCGAAAACGATGGCTCTTCTTGTTATGTTGGTTGCGGTCTCCTGACCCAACTCCCAATCTCAACATCAGACCTGAACCCAACTAAAGCCCTGGTCCCCAATCACAACATTAACTTCAGCAGTTGTTCTTGCTGTGGTTGTCCCACCTGATGACGATTGCTTGTGTTGCGATGTAAACGTCGTGATCTATTACTTTTCTACCTACGTGACTTTACCGAAATAACCAAAGAGTATGGATTCCTGCTTCAAATCCATTCACACCAATTCAAATGCGTCCATCGATCCCCCTGCCAGTCATTGAATCAAGTTCCACTGCGCAGCAGACGAGTTGGAAAGTTCACGAACTACTAACCACCCGATTGACCTCCGCTGCAACTCTCATTTCGTCCTCCATCCATTCATCCTCTTCTACCCAACCTCCTCTCGTCACCCTCACCGCTCGTCCAGACCCTGCACGTCCTCGTCGTCGTCCGCAGGCTCTGCCGCGTGGGGCAGGACCCCGATCACCGTGCTCCGGAGCGAGGCGCCGCGCAGCAGCCGTGCCCGCACCATCCCCATGTTGCGGGCCGAGCCGACCCCGAGTCGGGCGCTGGCCCCCGGCAGCAGCACCGTGTCGGCGGAGAGCAGCAGCGGCAGCCGCTCTGGGATGCGCAGTCCTCCTCCATCCTTGTCCATGGCGGCACGTTGCTTCTAAAAAGACAATCAAGTTCAAGTTCATTTTCGTGGTTCTTTCGGTAAAGTCACGTAGAAGGGAAATAATAAAGTAATATAAACTAAAAATGCTCACGACGTTTCGGCTGCAACACAAGCAATCATTATCAGGTGTGAAATCCACAGAAATACATTTTCAAGTAAAAATAAAATAATAAAAATATAAAATAAAAATTCTCTCGTTTCGGCTGCAACACAAGCAATCATCATCAGGTGTGAAATCCACAGCAAGAAATATTTGAGAATTAAAAAAATATATATTTATATATATTTTTTATTTGACATTTTCTTTCTGTGGATTTCACAGCTGATGATGATTGCTTGTGTTGCAGTCGAAACGTCGTGAGAATTTTTATTGTTTTATATTTATATTATTTTATTTCCCTTCTACGTGACTTTACCGAAAGAACCAATAATATGAATCCCTGCAGTCACAAAAGCTTTATTAGGTATAGCCCTGTGGGCCATTCGGCTCTTGAATCGGGTGCAACCGCAACAAACAAAAAACAAAAACATGAACAAGAAAACATCTTAACGTGAATATGTGACTATGTGCAAACAGAAAATCCAAGTAAAGACAGCAAAATATTGCAGAAAAAGCACCGTACACCAACGCTGCGTGCACAAATCCCAGTGGGATGCAAGTCAAACAACAACAACCACAAGACAACTTAGATTAAGGCCATCAGTCTAACTCTGTACTACAACAAACAAACATGGCTAAACCAATAAACTTTTCGAAATCACCAAAATAAAGCCATGAAAGCAATGAAACAGCTCTTGAATCGGGTGCAACCGCAACAAACAAAACATGAACAAGAAAAAATCTTAAAGTCACTATGTGACCAAGTGCAAACAAAAAATCCAAGTAAAGACAGCAAAATATTGCAGAAAAAACACCGTACACCAATGCTGTGTGCACAAATCCCAGTGGGATGCAAGTCAAACAACAACAACAACAACCACAAGACAACTTAGATTAAGGCCATCAGTCTAACTCCGTACTACAAGAAACAAACATGGCTAAACCAATTAACTTTTCGAAATCACCAAAATAAAGCCATGAAAGCAATGAAACAGCTCTTGAATCGGGTGCAACCGCAACAAACAAAAACATGAACAAGAAAACATCTTAAAGTCACTATGTGACCAAGTGCAAACAAAAAATCCAAGTAAAGACCGCAAAATATTGCAGAAAAAACACCGTACACCAACGCTGTGTGCACAAATCCCAGTGGGATGCAAGTCAAACAACAACAACAACAACCACAAGACAACTTAGATTAAGGCCATCAGTCTAACTCCGTACTACAAGAAACAAACATGGCAAACCCAATACACTTTTCGCAATCACCAAAATAAAGCCACGAAAGCAATGAAACAGCCCCTCGGTGTGAAGCAGCAGCAGCAGTGGAGACGTAGTACCAAGAGGCAGTACTCGTGTTGACGTCTCTGGGTTGTTGTGTGGCTTTAAACGAGAAGGCGGAACGTGGTGTGAGGTTCGGTTTTGTCACTTCGTCTTTGAGCTCACGGTCGAGATGAGGACGGAGCGGCCATGCTGGGTAGGGAAGGGGAGGTCACAACCCCAATTGGGTGTAGGAGGGAGTCAAGCGGACAATACGACTTTTAAACAGTATACAGTAATGTTGTATCCCTCCACACAAACACACTTATATTTCAGTGGAGGGGCATAGATATCGCCCGATTAATAACTTTGTGACTTATATGGGCATCTTTTTAAAAAAAATGTATAGCTCATCTGATACCTCCAGCATAACATATTCTAATATTCTCCAAGACGCTGAATGTGTCGTCGTGTACTACGTGGTGTAGCTGGCGACGTTTCGGGAGACGGCCCTTGAAGAGCAGGACACGTTGCGAGCGCGCGAGCCCTCACGCAAGATGTCCGCCATCGACGTCACGTCCCGGTGACGACGGGCGGGGGGGGGCGTTCCCCCGTCGCTACGCGGCTTCCCATTGGTCGGCAAAATTGTCGAATCAGATTGCGGTTGAGCTATGACGTCACGAACACCGCCCCCCCCCACTTCCCCCCACCTCTGTACCCCCTCTACCCCCCCACGCCCTCCATACGGAAGCCATCGCAGCCAAACGCGTTTCGTAAAGAGACGGTCCACGTGCGTTCAGCCACAGTCAAGAGTTCTTAAGTAACTACAAGTATTACGATTGTAGCCCTTTGTTTATAAATCACAATACACGCCCTGCATATTGTTGTGAATAGCGTACACATTTTGCGCGAATTTTAGCTGTTAGTAGTGTTGGTTTTTTTAACAAGACAGTAAAAACTATAAACGTATGTTGTGTGTTAACCTAGTTAACATCATCTAGATTTAGTAAACATACCAATGCGAGTAAGTCCGAACGTCAATGCTTTCCGGGAAGTGATCGATTTTTCTCCTGCACGCGCATTGGGGAAGCGTCCATAGGTGGAGTCCTCATGGATGGGGGAGGTGGGAGCTTCATGGAGAAATTCACCAGAATCCGTGCAGCAGCCGAGATGGGTTCAACGTCTCATCCATTGCATGTGTCGGTCATCGGATTTACAAAACAAATAATGGAAATACATTTATTTTATTTCCATTATTATTTTTATTAACTTTTAATTTTATTTTTTACCTACGTGACTTTACCGAAAAAAAACCTAAGAGTATGAATCGTTGCAGTCACGAAAGCTTCAAATCTAGAATTAAAGTAATTCGTTGTTCACAGGGGTTTCTCCTCGAGACGAAAGTGCCCAAATCGGAGAATTGTACACTTTGTCGCATGAAAACACGTTCCTTCGGAGTGGGCAGATAGGAACTTGGTTGGATGACAGACAAATAATCCCTGGTGGGCAGTGTGGAACCTGTTGTTCCTAATTCTAGATTTGAAGCTTTCGTGACTGCAAGGATTCATACTCTTAGGTTTTTTCGGTAAAGTCACGTAGGTAACAATAAAAAATAAATGATAAAAATAATCGAAATAATAATTGCTTTATTTCTATTATGATTTCTATTATTTATTTTTATTGTTACCTGTTGTTCCTACCTGTAAAATCTCGACGTTTAAAAGCTTGCCATACAAGAACAACGAACTTGTCATCCAGCCATGAGTACCATCTTTCCCACTGCATTCCCCGAATGAGCAGAAACTTCAACCGCGTTTACCACTGACTACTACACTTCTGTTCCCCATGCCCTGAACCATAACTTTTCAAACCAGCCACGAATATCCCTCGCAGTGACCCAAACCTGACCACATAAGCCTGACCCGTGATGCAGTCACGATCACTTCCACAGACATTCCTACCCTTTGATAATTGGTTTATACCCTTCTATCTGGCAACAAAACTGACACCTTTTTTTACAAGGAATCATGTTTGCATAGACCACAATACCTGCAGCCATAATGCAAACAAAAAACATAACTCTGATAATATATGCACTGTCCTTGAAGTTGATTGGTCCGCACCCGAGACAGCTTTTCTTAAAGCTGTCTCGGGTGCGGACCAACATGAATCCTTGTAAAAAAAAGGTGTCAGTTTTGTTGCCAGATAGAAGGGTAAAAAAACAATTGTGTTTTTTACTGGCAAATGAGGTTCCAATGGTATTCCTACCCTTTCTTTATCTTGTAGTTAACTACAGTGCTGTAAGCTGTCCCATTTCACCCAAACCTTCCCAAAAACCTGCATCACAAGCTTTCCCAGGGCTACTTTTAATTTTTGAAAGATTTCATTTTTGCTGTGCACAGCCTTGTATTATAAATGTCATCAGCTCTTTGACTTCAAAGGGGCGGAGTTCACATTAGATAACTTTGCATTTTGTGATGTTGACCTTATTGGCCCTTCACATGCAATTAGATTTCATTGTAAGCTCATGTTACCTGGGCGGAAAGGTGGTGCAGTGGTTCGTGCACCCGTGCTATGAACTCGATGACCCGAGTTCACAATTCCCCGTGAACATTCGTGGCCGGTTATCATTTCCTCTCCCCACTGAATCCCACAATCTCCCCGTACTGACCAGCCTGACTGCCGCATGACATGATATTAATATTAAAGTAAAACATTGCAATAAATGTCACGCTGACAATGCAGAGGCATCAGCAGTGGAATGGCAATGGGAGTTAATGTATGCAGTGGCATTACAGTAACTGTATTTTGCTACCTACAGCAAAGCTTTCCTGGACAAAACATGCTGTTTTTAATTGCATATGCTTTTTAATATAAACTTTAAGGGGAAATTTAACTCAACGTAAAATGTGCGCTTGTTTTTAAGTGGCACGTGGTTTGTTCTCTAATGATAATGATGCCAAAGAACACAGCCATGGAACACGTGAAAGTGATAAGACCTATATTCTTGGGTCTTTCGGCAAAGTCACGAAAGCTTTAAGTCATGATAAGACCCAGTTAATTTCAGACGTACCTGTTGAAATGTATTGCTTATTTAGTAGATGTGTTGTGATATACTTTACTTTCATACCTCATAGGCACTAATGAACATGGCCCAATAATCCGAAAAAAAGTTTTAGATTTTTTTTTATCAGTTTGCCAATAAAAGACCCAGTAACGTTGCAGTCCCGCAATGGATTTGTTCACTCGAAAGTTGGTGCAAGAGGCTCTCCCCTAGAGGGAGCTTCAGGGAGTTAATCTATTGAGCACAACACATTTTTTGAAGGTTTATTACCAATTCAGGGATGATTTTTGTAACTTGAAAAGAATAGAATTGGTATTCAAGGCCTTCCAAATGTTATTTTTGATGGTACAATATTTGACTTTTATACTATCTGCATAAATGTGTTTACGTGAATTCATTAACAAAGTTGTAAACAATGTATATGTATACTTTTATGTCATAAACCACTTCAGTTATTCAAAGCATATTATCTGAAAACTGTTCTTGGATGTTGGGCTTCGAGACTTGCGCTGTGAATTACAAAACAAGAGTATTGTGATCGTGCAGTATTATGATGGAAACGACAATAATTGCGTGTTAAACACGAACATTAAATTAACTTTAGTATCTGATATGCTCACCCAATCTGAAGCACGGTTTAATACCTAACGTATGCCGGCATGCATGTCTGAATCTCATGCTGTATCTTTATTTTCATTCTTAGTATTTGGTAAAGGTGCACCTCTGCAACTGCCTGCTCGCGCAACTGCTGGCAGAAGGGCCTTCAACTCGAGGGAGGTCTAAAGGGTTTCTTGACCAACTCCTCTGTCATTGTACCCATTCAAACTGGTGGAGCATTTAAGAAAACCTGCCCCATTGTTCAAACTGCCGCACCGGGAGAAAGAGACGGCCAACTTGTATTGCAAGTCTGGTGTGTTAATCATTACATTACATCACATCAGCATTGCTAGTATATACTGTATATAAAAAATAAACCGTAAATAACATACATTTGTTTACGTATTGTAGCACTCTTAAAATATAACTGTCACAAAAACACAATAAAATGCGGGTACTAAAATAATAAAGTTGCATTCGCATTGCTCAGGCGAGTCGATTAGGGTCACGCCATATTTGGCTGCAATAAATTTGACTTGATAAATTAAGAGTTTGGCTGGGATACATTTCCACATGATAAGCCGCTTTGTTGAGCTATCATTTATGGCCAGCTATATATCTCAGTGGGTCTTGATAAAAAAAATGGTTTATATGCCACAGCACCAGGAAAGCAAAGAAGTTTTACATCTGAGATTGAAATATTCAGCAGGACCTCACATCACCCAGGGGATAATGCACACCACTATATCTGTTAATTAGTAACTTCACATTATCTTGCCAATGTGATTATTACCTCGTTTAAGATTCTATGACCCAGGGCATGTGTTTTTTTAAACACATTACCTACTATAATCACCCAGAAATGTCTGTCCGTCCCGCACGTGACGTCACTCCACGTGAGGCCCACCCCCGCGTGACGTCACTCCAAATGAGGCCCACCCCCTTCATTAATATTCATGTCCGCTTGGAAATTGACACTAACGCACAAGAAGGTCGCGCACTCTACATGCCGCACCTCTCCACAATAACCGTTAGGGGGTGATGTCACTCTACACGCCGCACCCCTCCCCAATAACCTTGAGCGGGTGACGTCACTCCACATGCCGCACCTCTCCACAATAACCGTTAGGGGGTGATGTCACTCTACACGCCGCACCCCTCCCCAATAACCTTGAGCGGGTGACGTCACTCCACATGCCGCACCTCTCCACAATAACCGTTGGGGGGTGATGTCACTCTACACGCCGCACCCCTCCCCAATAACCTTGAGCGGGTGACGTCAGTCCACATGCCGCACATCTCCACAATAACCGTTGGGGGGTGATGTCACTACACGCCGCACCCCTCCCCAATAACCTTGAGCTGGTGACGTCACTCCACATGGGGCAACCCCCCCCCCCCCCCGCCCTCATTAATAATCATGAGCTGGACAATTTTTCTCTTGAATATTTCAGATTTACTGCAATTTCCACCCGTCCTTGGACGGTGCAAAAAAGCTTGTTACAAAGTATAGCTCATGAGATAACACTTCATGCTGCACGGTGCTGTTAATACATATAAACAAGACAATGCAAACGAGTTCTTTATCTTGTTAATATACGTGTGCACCACGTTTGACCATATCCTTGCCGACGTTTGGGTTGAGCGGGTTGGTGAAGGGAAAGAGGGGACCATTACCAAATCGGACATGACTCCTGATTTTTTTTTATATTGCTGCAGGGTGCTCACCGTTGTGCCACTCTTCCGCACAATAAATTGCGGTATTTTATATTGACACTATATAATTGCAACATCACGTTTAATTTCCCGTAAAAAACGAGTGAAAACTCTGTAAGTGCTTATGCCACAAATCATGTCCACGTTCACATTTTAAATTCATGGTACGGTAACCAACATCTCAGCTCCGCATCATCATCATCATCATATTTTTTTCAGCTTTGGCAAATGACTGCGCAGATATCTACTTTAGTTCAGCAGTAAAGCAAATGGGTCGTTGTTTCGATGAGCGGAGCAATCGGTTTCGTTCAATCTGCTTAACATCGCACGGCCCAACAAGATTTTTGTTCCTGGGTAGTAAGTGTTATTTTGTAATTGCTTATGCCTCAAAAGTATAGAAAATGGCTATTATTCCCCACAAACTTTGCTTTTGTGACCAGGACTTTATGTGAAGGAATGACACAAATGCACACTTTTCTTATTAAAAACAGGAAATATTCTAAATATCACTGTCCTGGTCACAAAATCAAAGTTTGTGGGGAATAATAGCCATGTTCTGTACTTTTGAGGCATAAGCAATTAGAAAATAACACTTACTACCCAGGAACAAAAAATAATAAATGTGTTACACGGTATTATTAATGGAGTGGATTATTAACTTTGATTTTGTGTCCTGGTCCCAAAAGCCAAGTTTTTGGGGAACAATATAAATTTTCTGTACTTTTGAGACATAAGCAATTAGAAAATAACACTTACTACCCAGGAACAAAAAATAATAAATTTGTTACACAGTGTTATTAATGGAGTGGATAATTAACTTTGCTTTTGTGTCCTGGTCCCAAAAGCCAAGTTTTTGGGGAACAATATCCATTTCTGTACTTTTGAGGCATAAGCAATTAGGAAATAACACTTACTACCCAGGAACAAAAATAAATACATTTGTTACCTCGTGTTATTAATGGAGTGGATAATTAACTTTGCTTTTGTGTCCTGGTCCCAAAAGCCAAGTTTTTGGGGAACAATATCCATTTCTGTACTTTTGATGCATAAAGCAAATAGAATGTAACAGTTACTACCCAAGAAAAAAAAGTTCCGTTACACGGTAATCACCAATATTTACACTCGAGCAGCAGCACAACCTCGTGCACATTGCCTAGGCCAATTTTGGCTGCGCAGATTTCTGTTTGGGCCAGCCTCATGCATAGCGCTGTGCGGGTGACGCCGCCTTGTGTTGAGAGCCTCGATTGGCTACGGGCATTCGTGCGCTCACCAACGCCATCCGCACGCACGTGAACACACACACCCCCCCCCCCCCCCAGCTGCCAAATCCGCTTCCAATCTCTCCGCTGCCAGCGTTCTAACGTCTTCCGAGAATAAGATGAAAGATGATTTACCAGGATGATGATGACGACGACAACGAAGATAATACTAATGGTGATGACGATGTCCTCTAATAATACGAGATAATACAATCCAGGCGCATTTGCATTTGTCCGGCAGGCGACCGCCATCCATCCGTCGTGCCATGTTCAACATCATCATCATCATCCGTGTTGCCGTCCGTCTCTTTGCGAGGAGTGGCAGAAGAAGCGAAGCAGTGACAGCAGCAGGAGCAGCAGCAGGAGGAAGAGCAGCAAGAGGAAGAGCTACGCTCCTGCATTTGTACGTGCGACCTTGCTGCCGCTGCGTAGCCAGAACCATCTGCTCCTGCTCCTCATCCTCATCCTCCTCATCCTCCTCCTGCAGGAGATGATCGTTTTGCTCGCGTACGGCGCGAAAGAAGTCCAGCCGTACAAACGTACAGAACCATCACGGGCGCTGCCGGCAGAGGAAGTCGTGCTGCGTTTGCGCGCATTGTTAGGGAGGCACGGAGGGGGGGGTGGTGGTGGCGAGTTAGGGATTGTTGTTGGGGGTGGTTGGGATTGTTGTTGGGATTGTTGTTGTTGGGACGGTTGTGATTGTTGTTGGGTGGTTGGGATTGTTGTTGTGATTGTTGTTGGGTGGTTGTGATTGTTGTTGGGTGGTTGTGATTGTTGTTGTTGGGTGGTTGGGATTGTTGTTGTTGGGTGCTTGGGATTGTTGTTGTTGGGTGGTTGGGATTGTTGTTGTTGGGTGGTTGGGATTGTTGTTGTTTGGTGGTTGGGATTGTTGTTGGGATTGTTGTTGTTGGGTGGTTGGGATTGTTGTTGTTTGGTGGTTGGGATTGTTGTTGGGATTGTTGTTGTTGGGTGGTTGGGATTGTTGTTGGGTGGTTGAGGGGGTGCAGAGATAGAGGGAACAGGGCCGGAGTGGGGGGCACGGGGGTCCCTGACTTGACTGTTCGTGGTGGTGTTGTTGTTGGTAGGGGGTCGTCTTTGGTGCTGCTCTGAATATTGCTTGTGCCCTTGCCGGCTCTCTGTGGGTGCTCGCTTCAACACAGATTGCCCCAGCAGAGATCTGTGTTGTCGGTGTTCCTGCTACCACTGCTGCTGCTGCTGTAGGTGATGTCGGTGATGTCGGTAAGCGTGTAAGTTTGTGCCCGCATGCGGTTTGGTAGCTGTAATGTGGCTGTGGCTGCTGCTGCTGCTGTTGTAATAGCAGTAGTAGTAGTGGTGGTGGGGGAGGCGACGCAACGGGAGGAAGGAAGAGGCTGGAGAGAGAGAGGGAGGGAGAAGAAGAGGGAGCAGGGAGGGAAGGGGAGTGGTGGGAGAGAGAGAGAGAGGAGAGACGTGGGGGGTGGTGGTGGCTTTGCCTCGGTTGGCTGGATGTGGAGGGGTTGGGGATGCGGGAGGAGTGCGCAGTGGAGCGGGTATATAGCGAGGGGCATCACCACCACCACGACCATCACCACCACCACCACCACCCTCTTGCTCTGCTTCATTGCAACGGAGGAGTTTGGCCAGACGGGTAGACGCTTGACGGAAGGACCTCTGGGCAAAGTGTGGCGGGGAGGGTTGCGCAGAAGTCAGTCGCAGCCTCTTTGTCTCGTTAAAACAAAACAAGAAAACTGCATCACTCCGAAGAAGAAGAAGACGCATCCCACGGCTCCTGCCTGCTCCGTTGATGGCCACGGGCATGCTGCTGCTGGAGGGCTGATTGAGGACAACCTCGCCGAACAGGTAGGGCAGACGGTGGAAGACGACACTCACTCGGACACAGACGACAAGACACGGATCCCACGTGTGACAGACAACACGGGGTTTTTTTGGGGGGTTTGGGGTTGGTGGGGGGAGAGGGCAAGTGCTGTTCGCGAGCACTTGTGAAAGGCCGGCACATGGCGCACGAGGGTTGGTTTGGTGGGTGGTGTGTGGCCAGCAAGCATCCCGGACCGCCTTTGTCTCTCCCCCCGCGCTGATGTTTTGACATCGCACAGAGAGCTACTCATTTGAATCGACTTCTAGGGGCACCGAATCGAACTCGGGGAAGGGGTCAGGGGGTTCGTAACTCAGTGCGCTAACCATTGCGCCACCGCTCCCCGTTCTCGGACACGCACGTGGACACGCATTGACGGCAAATCCGCTGTGCCATGAGACCCCTTCCTTACCCGGCCCTGGTCGGGTGCGTTTGGGTTTTTCTTGACAAGGAGAGAGGAAAAAATTAACCCGTAAAAACAAAGTTTTTCACTATAAATCCTTTATATGAGTGGCGGCTAGAGTCCTCTCGTCCTCTGGCTTGAGATGGCTGCCACCTATGGTTCAGATGATTGCCTGCCTCCATTAAGCAATTGGTAATTAAATATTTTAAAAAATTCCTAAAAAGTGTAAAGTTATGGAAACAAATTTTCACGAAAATAAATTGTCACGCACAACGAGTCTGTGTGCAAAATGTCTGCTCGATTGGATCACGGGAAGTGGGTTAAAAAACGACCGAAAGATTTGCACGGTCGTAAGCGCGCAAGCAAGTAAGCAAGTGAACTTAATATAAAGGATTTAAAAATGGCAAATTGGAGGAGGGTCAGTCGAGAAGAGACACGGGCTGGGCTGGCATAGCGGTGGCCCCGTGGCTCAAGATCTCCTCCTGCGCTGAGAGATTTCAACTTTTTCCGTGGCCGCTTAAGCTTCGTGCGCTCTGGCTGCTGCGACGGAATATGCGGCGTGGTGTGGTGGACATCGTCCTCTCTGGATTGCCGAGTTATTATCAAAGAACTCACAGGAGGAGAGAGAGAGATTGTGTCGAGGCGTTGTCTGAACAGTTCGAACAGTTTATTTAGAATTGCCCCGTGAACTAAGGAAGCTCTTGAAACGGGTTTCAGTCGGCAACAAAAAGCTAGAAATTTACAACGCAATGTTTGCAATAGGTCACGTAAAACTTATAAAGACGTACAGCAATGATAAAAGTCAACAGATTTAAAACGTACAATATATTACTTAATGATCAATTACATATTTCACGAAAGTGAACATTAAGATTAGAGAAACGTATTGAAAAATAGTGCATCTAGAGCGTGGAATAAGATTCGATAAAATGTTGAGTTTTCATAACGAGCAGTACGAATAATCGCGTTGTGCGCATTTTTGACGTGCACGGTTTAGTTACGTTTTCATATTCCTCCCCGTTTTTGAATCGCGTATTGTACTTTGTATATTGTTGTACTTGTATGTGATTGATTTTTTTAACCGTGATGAGAAGTATTTTCGAATGACAGTTGTTTGTAACAGTGCTCACACCGCACCAAGTTTAGCCACGTTCCTAAGGCTATATAATTCACATAAACCTCATCATCCATTTACAAACTGTGAACACTGAAAAAGCAGTTCACGTGTCCCAGTACTGTAGCGTTTTTTTTCCTTTCTTGTTTGCCTGTTTTCTACTCCCAGCTCACAATGAGATGGCTTAATGGAAAGCACATGTGTGCTCTCTGACACATGTGATCGTGTCTTGGGTTCACGTCCACTCTGGCGTTCTTAATAAAACTGCTTGTTTGGGGGTGGGGTGGCGGTGGCTTGTCTTGTGGTATGTCATCAACGAAGAGCATCGTACATCAGCGATGTTCGGACGCAGCCCTGCAATTCCTCGTTCCTATTGGGACGGTTACACTCCCAAACCAGAGGGAGATCTCGAGAAATGACCTCAAAGCATCGTAATTCCACCCACCCACCACCACCACTCTTTCACGCTGGCTGGCCATAACGTCTTGGAAGAAGAGGTGGGAGTAACTCGACTGTTATACCACCAACAACTCCAAGCTGCCAGCCGCTCGACTGACTTGATTGAACCCATTTGGTTGTCCTGCTGGGTGGACAGAAGTTAGGAGGGAGGGGGAATTCAGAATCCTGCACCGTTCTGACTAATGTGCGCCGTGTGGGCGACACTCTGGATTTTAAAGTCCAATGTGCCAACCATTTCCACCACGGTGATGCCCACGTCATATCGTGTCCTCCAGGTTATAATGTAATTCAGGGATCAAAGCCTCGCAGAGTCTCAAACTTTTTTTTAAGGAATGCCCTGCGTTGGGATGTTTGGCCACTTCCATTGTAAAGATTGTTTACACGTGGGGGCGGAAATCGTAGTACCCAGAGAGAAGCCGCCACGCGTACAAAGCGATATAACACACAACGGCCTGTAGGGTAGAGGGTAAAGAACCCACTTGCTGTACTGCCGTCTAATGACCACCAACGCAGCGCAAGCACATTTTGGAATTTGAACCTTTTTCTCCAAAGCGCAACTACCCCTGGGGTTGATTCCAGGACATAATTATTCATGAGCGTCGCGTTATTTCTATCGGGTGCTATGTTGCCATCGTCAACTCTGGAGAGACAAAGGCGGTCGAGGGTGGTTTTGACTCGTACATAGGTGTTCTCTCAAATACAGTACTTGCCCTTTACAGCTTGTGGGGGTGCAGCAGAGAGAGAGTTTAATTAGACAGACAGTGCAATGTACAGACTCGGACTGGTTAATTCCTTTCCGATGATGCTGTTGCGAGTCTGCTGAGCACGAACATCAAGTCCCGTTATTCGCCAGCGGGGCTCTCTGGCTGGGAGTGGCTCTCGGGGTGAATAATGGCTTTGGAATGGAACGGCGTGTGTGGTTTGTGTCCTTTTCTCTGCTTCTTGTATGAGACCGTGAGAGATCGTGTTTTTACAGATTGCTGGCATCGGTGGACGTATTAAGACACGTGCATATCGCCATTCCTACGCAAGGAATGATTGTTTTCAGACCGTGTTACATATATTCCAGTACAACTACTTACTGTATCGGGGGAGAAAGAACAATACATCGTAATTGATCGGTAAAATGTAAAGATGCTGCTCTGTAATTGGCCATGCACGCCACAGTTGGTGAAATGTCTTCCACGACAGGGAAATCTAAACTTCTAATCTAGAGGGTATCCGCCCAATTCTTCCATGCTGGACAAATGTCTTGGAAGGGGTGGTAGTACCCACGCTTTACCCCACCACGAGCACCATGATGATTGACTGTACAGTTACAGAAACTAAACATTTCATTTGTGCAGTGGAACTGGCGTGCAAAGTGCTGTTGTGTGAGGAATAGCAGAAATCTTCAATTCCGCGGTAATGTTGGGGATGGAATGTTTTCATAAAAAATTACGGATAATGGGTTGTGTGATGATGAGCTTCACTTATTCACATATATTGCGGAAAATATGAAACAGTCTCAGGATGGAAAAAAACTGTCGATAATGAGCACTACCATGGGTGGCATGAGTTCTACTGTAGTTGTATAAGAACCTATCTTGGGTCCTATAATATCAATCATCATTGTAGTTTGCTTGCTTTAGAGTCAGACATATGTGAGATTGCGTTACAGCCCTTTGGCCCACGTGCCAGCTCAGTTGTGTGGATTCTCACCAGCTTATTACAAGTTCAACTATAGCCCAGTTTATTTCTCCCCACTTCTTTCTCCAGTCTAACAAAGTCTGACTTTCTCGACGGAGTTCCCTGTGTTGTAGGTACCAATGGTCAAACCAAAAAGGTGTCCTGTCTATATTGAGTGAGTCTTTGCGGCCCCTGGTCTTTCGTAAACGCCTGCTCGCATCGTGGATAATGGACCGATGGGGCTGTTGTTTGGGCGTATTCGGTATTGTGGTTTTTGTTGTTGTTGACCATACTTAACCACACTAGTTCGTGTGGTTTGGCGAAGGGAGCACATTTTGGCTCGCCCAATCGCTGGCTGAGTAGATTGGCTGACGTGAGTGCCCCAGTGCAGTAGAGCTACTCGGGTCTTAAAATAAGCATTGGCAGATGCCTCTTATATAACACAAGGGGTTTAATTGTTGAGTAATAAAGCATGAATTGTGATTTATGTATTATATAAATGAATGCAATAGCGTACAGTATTTTAGTTTTATGTATTTTACGTTAATATTTTCTATTGACAGCTGCGCAAATAATAAGCATTGCTTATTTTGCCCTAGTATTGACCAGCAATATTTAACATGTATCTTAATGCCACCATGTTTACAAAGACAAAGATCCCTCGCATAGCCTTTAACAGAGTGTTGGGGCAAGTGCAGTTAGCAGGCATCTATAAGACTGGCACGACACACAAGGGAGTGGGTGGCCAGCACCACGCCCGGCCGCCTTTGTCTCCCTAGTGGCAATATTTACACACTGAACCAGGTATTAATTTGAGGCTGAGTCGCCCTAGGAGAGGCCCAGGACTGATTCAGATAATCGTCTCTGGTGTTTGCCGTGAGTGGGAATTGAACTCGAGATGCCGGATTCGTAATGTTAACCGCAGCATTTCCTATGCCCACACCATACACACACACACAAATATGTACACTTTAGCATGCAATATGTAGTACAGGCCATTTTTAATCGGGGTATTTAATAGTGATGATGCACGTTGACGTGTGTTTTACCGGTAACCTGAGTTCAGTCCGGCGATTGTATAACCCACCATAGGCAATGCGACTCGTTACTCAATTACTTCATCGTGCTCAAACTACCAGCAAAAAAAAAACCACATGCCACTAGCCATTAGTGCTTCCTGCAATTTCAGAATCACGGTTCGGTTATAAACTAAGGTATGCGTTGCGCGAAAATAACCCAACGCGGATCCATATTTTAGTTTTCTTCAGTGGCCACCTCGCCCATTGCAAGTTGTGTAGATTTGTACGGTTAACGATCAACTTAAGTAAGGCTGCGTTGCTCGT